CGCGCTACCGCTTGAGCCACATCCCCAGCCCTGAAAGGATTTTTTTGAGAGAGAATTTTTTAATATTTATTTTTAGTTTTCAGCGGACACAACATCTTTGTTTGTAATGTGGTGCTGAGGATCGAACCCGGGCCGCACACACGCCAGGCGATCGCGCTACCGCTTGAGCCACATCCCCAGCCCCTTGAAAGGATTTTTAAAAATTACAAATAACACAAAAATTGGGCTGATGGAATCAGTGCTTCTACAAGGTTACATAGCTCCTTCTGGATTTCCATAATTTGTGTTCTTTTTCACTCTGAAAAATAAAGCACTGTCCAGGCCTAGACTCAGTACTTAAAATGAAAACAAAGATGTGAAAGTTACAAGAAAAGTACTTTTCCACAACATAACATCAAGTATTACAACTCCTCAATTATGCTGAGCTAAGAGTAAAACTATTCTTTACCACAGTTATTTTGGTTAAATAATGTGTTCTTTTAGAACTTATTTTGATACTCTGAAAGATAACACATGAACACCCAGGGACACTGAAAAATATGCAAGAATATGCATACTGTACATTTGCTAGTATTCCAGAATAATCTGTTTTTATTCATAATGTGTTTGGAAAACAAACCCAAATGAAATCATTAGGAAAAGTTATTGATGATGTATCTTCTTATGCTAATGTATGTATTTTCTTATACATACAGTAGGTTTGGTCAAATCCTTTGGAACATCAATGTGAAGGTTTGAGAACTGTACCCACTTCATGCTGGTACTGCTATAAGTGGGGAAAAAAAAAGAGAAAACCAAGTTAAAAAGCACACAGGCCCATTTTCTAGTTCAATTAGTCATGTCCAATGTATACTTACAGAAGAAAGGCACCATTATTTGCTGTACTGCTCTTAGAACTGTTTACAGACAAATTCCCCAAGCCCTTAAAAAAAAAAAAAAAAAGTGGGTGGGGAGGGGCATATATTAGAATTAAAGTCAATTTCCAAACCACTCAGTTTCCACTAAAAATTAAAAGAYACATGATGCTTCAAATAAAGGGATATCTGATTATTTCAAATGAAGAAGTTTGGATACCTAAAAGGGACAGATTAATTTCAGAATAAATAAGAGGACAATGGTTGAAAATTAAAAAGCACTCTCAAAACACTAGAATCTCAACTCCCACAAGGAAAAAAAAAAATCTATGAATTAAACATGTAGACATTAAAAAAAAAAAAGCATCAAATGTGACTTTATTTTCCCACTATTTTTTTTACAGATTAACTGTACATCTGTGCCAGTGAACACAATCCCCCTGGTGGAAGAAATATTTTTATSCAATAAAATAATTGAATATATAATTTAATTTATTATTGTCTATTTAATTTATTAAGAGTTGGAATAAGTACCCTTCTTTTGAAGCCTCATGCATCTTTTCAAGCATATGCATTTCTTGGCTTGGCTAGGATAACTAGCTTATAAAGTAACTGAAATACAGTACACACTGGAACTTGCACCCATTACTAACTGCTATGCCACACAGGGCAACAATTCAGCAATGCCAAATCCTTTCTTGTGAGCACCCCCTGGTGGAACAAAACTTTTTTGTTCTAGGAAACTTAAATGCTACTCTATACTACCTGTTTTTCCTTTAAGCTTTCCTGATATTTAAAAGTGTACCTTGAGAAAGTAGGAGCACAGAATCCTCAAAATACAATGAAGATGAAAATAACAAGTTGGCACAAGCAAAGCTTAATTAAAATAACCGACTGTCATTTAAGTGTTTTTTTAAAAAAATATATTTTAGTTGTCAATGGATCTTTTATTTAATTTACTTATTTATATGCTAAGGATCGGACACAGGGTCTCACACATGCCACAACTCCAGCTGAGCCACAACTTCAGCCCTGACTTAAATGTTTTAAAAGCCTATTTTTRTTGTTTTTCTTCTCTTTACTCAAGTTGGAGACAATTCAAAACTTTTCATATTCTCCCTTGGCTCATGAGAAAAAAAGAAAACGAAAAGGAAATTAGGCAAATACAAGGTAGCAAGAAGTATGTGTCATTCTTCACACACAATCCCAAAGAAAACTTCCTCCTTGCATCTATGCCAGTGACCACACAATCCAGTTGTGCAAAAAAGGAGAAATCTAAGGAATATGACACTTCTTAGTAATACTCTTCCTCTATAAATCTCAGCTTTTAACAGCTGCCTAAAGTGTTGTTATATCCACCAATCAACTTAAGTTCTTAAATTTTCTTTTTGCTCTCTTTTTAAAAAATTTGAGAGGGCACAATGTGGTGGCATGCACCTGTAACCCAAGCTACTCAGGAGGCTGAGATAGGAGGATCCAAATTCAAAGCCAGTCTGGGGAATTTACCAAACCCCTGTCTAAATAGATAAATATATACATAGGGCTGGGATGTAGCTCAGTGGTAAAGTGTCCCAGGGTTTAAACTCTAGTACAAAAAAAAAAAAAAAAAATTTCTTTTAAGGGCGTGTGATTGGGGAACTTTGTCTGGATAAGTTCATTTTAGCACTTCAAAAATCTCAACTTCTAACACCATCTAAAAAACAGTGGTCCTCAAAGTGTGGTCTGAAGACCGGGGTAGGGGGATGTCTCTGTGACACTTTCAGATTTGGGAAATCAAAACTATTTTCATAATAACACTAAAATGTTATTTGAAACTTGTCTCATTCTCTCACAGTGTACAGTGGCATTTTCTCAAGGATGAATAATGTGTGATAAAACAAAATGCAAAAAACAAATATGAAAATCCAGCAGTCTTCTATTAAGCCAAATATTAGAGATCTCTGTAAAAGTGAAAAACATTGCCACTCCTCACGTAATCTGCTTTTGTTTTGGAGAACACAATTCCCATAAAATGTTAACTATGTTAACATGTAAAGAATTTTTAGTGTTACTCCTCCCATCCCCTACGGGGGATTGAACTCAGGGGCGCTCTAACTCTAAACTACATCCGCAGACCTTCTTATATTTTATTTTGAAACAGGGTCTCGCTCAACTGCCTAGGATGGCCTCGAACTTGTGATCCTCCTGCCTCAGCCTCCTGAATAGCTGGAATTACAGGCGTGCACCACCGCGCCCAGCTTATTAGGGTWACTTTTTAAACGGGTATTTTTAAGATTCTCAGTTTTATTTTTGCAAACCAAAATATAGGTAGTTAAGATTCACAAAACTGAAAATCTCTTTGAGGTCCTTATCTCCAAAAGTGGGACGGGGTCCTCTGGCTAAAAAGCCTGAGAACCGCTGCTTAAGTTTTTGTTTCTCTTCCAAAGAAACGTGTGGAGGATATCTAACCCACTTTGCCGACTTCAGAGACCATCCTCTAAATCTTTTCTCATCACCTTCCTGCAAACAGCAGCCCGGGACGAGTAACAGATATCGGGGAAGACTCCTGATGGGCTGAACAGCGGGTGGCAGCGGGAATTAACCACAGACCCGTTGGCCCGCCCAGTCTCCCCAAATCTCTCCTTACCTGCCAGAGGTGCCGGCACAGAGCGCCAAGCGTTGTCCGCGCCGCCATCTTGCTGCYCCGAACTTCCAGAAGAGCTTCCGGGGTCACAGGTGCGTCCTAAGACCATAGAGTTCGATGAAAGGAGAGAGTACGTCCTCGTGTTCCGCCACAGGAACAACCATAGAGACGTGATTCCTTGCTTTTGAGGGTTGGATCGGCTTCCTGATTGCAATCGCGTCTGAGTAGAATTRCTTGAGCCCACACCTACCTAGTAATCAAGTTTCATCAGTATTTTCACCGTCAAACCATGCTTGTCCTATGGGGTTCCATGAGGCTGGAGGCCAACACAGCAAAAGCTTGGAAAACAACAACAACAACAAAAAACCTACCAACTACTGAGCCCAAATCCTAACCATTTATCTTATTGCAACAGACTTGTAGTTTTGTTCCTTAAAGTTACTTTCCTTCCCTACACCAACTGGAATTCTTGTGCCCTAGGTATCTTATATAGCTCCATCTTACTAATCTTCCTAAATCATTCATTTCCTTATGTTACTCTAGTATTTGAGACTACAATGAGTGCCTTCACCTACTAAAACGAGCCCAAATAGTGCCTAGTACTTAATGTCCACAGTAGTTTAATTTGGTGAATCAGATTTGCTGTAATAAAATTTTCTTTCATTTGTGCAAATTTCTAAGCTTTATTGTTTTCCAAAGTGCTTTCACATAGGCAATTTAATGAAAAACTCGAGATTYATAATTAGGAAATTTGGATTGTAATAATCTCTGGTTTACCATTTAGCTGAGTGACTCTGGGCAAGTTTCTTTCCCACTTTGAGCTTATTTTCTCATATGTCCAATAGAGATGATAATAGATTTCACTTCAAATAGTGTCTATGAGGATTAAATGAGATACTGATGTATGATAGTTAGTACATTGTCTGCCACATAATATGCCATCAATTTCATCTACCATTTGCAACATAAAGTTTCTTGTATCTTTTGCTTCACAAGATCGTGGAGAAGATTAAGAGGATCAAGGTTATGAGAACACTCAAAGCATCTAAATAAAGCATTATACAAATGTAGTTGTTGTTTCTCCTCACAAGTTGTTATTTCTCCTTATTTACCCTATTTTGAAGGCAAGAGAACAAAGTAAAGGGTAGAATAATTTGTGCAACATTCCATACATGGATGAGAGATTTAGGAGCAGAAACCAGTTTTCCTGCCCCTCCAACTGGGCTCTGCTCAGTAGAATGTAGTCCATGTGAGGGTGGCAGAGTGGTCCTACTGCATGGTATGGAAACAGTACACATTTCACCCATGTGCACTTCGCTTGGCTCAGCTGTGCCCCATCGTGGCTGACCACCCAGGGTCCTCCTCAACATTAGGCTCTCTTAATTGTGAGGTTGGAAGTGGTCTATCTCAGCCAATGGGTTTTCCTGAAAGCAGCACTCCTGCCCCCACCGCCATCCCAACCCCCATCTGTTTTGCTGCTTCTGAAGTTTGCATCAGTCTCTCAATGACTCCTCAACTGGCCTCTGCCCCTTTGAGTAGCCTGAGTTTGGAAAGTGCTCTGCAGCCACAATGATGGTAATATTACGATTCTCTCTCCAGATTTTACACACACACACACACACACACACACACACACACACACATTTGTTAACTTAATCTCAGACATGAATTTTTTCCTAATTTTATAGGTGAAGAAACAGGTTCAGAGAGGAAATAACTCACTCAAGCTTGGTTTCAACTGAACCAAGATAGTTCAATGCCTTCCTTTCCTGCCCCAGCAGAGAGCTTGTTCTGATTCTCTGATGAGGCCCAGTTCTATCTGAGTCTCCTTTGGATTAAAGGAATCAAGACACCCATCCTCCACCACACCCTACTACAAAAGAAAACTGGTTTACTTTTAAAGACATGGTGGCCCAAACTCTTCTGGGCCCCAAAGACTGTGCTACAGTCAGCCTGGGACTGATGTCCTTGCTAGTCCTCTGATGGCCTTCCTGTGGATTGATTTGTTCCTGCTCCCCCAGGGCTCTGCCCTGCTTGTTGCCATGGCTTGCTGCCTCTAGCTCATCAAGTTTCTTCATTTGTTCTGTCTCAGATGTGGGAATTTGATTCAGTCTCCTCATCTTTCTTGGCTAAGCCATATCATATGTGACTGACTAGCCTATTGGCCTAATGACTTTGGGTCCCATGTCAACCTGGTCCAGTTAGCTGGGAGCAAGGGGACAGTCATTGTAAAGGGAAAAGGGGCCTGGGGATGTAGTTCAGTGGTAGAGCACTTGCCTAGCAAGGGCAAGGCCCTGGGTTTGACCCTCACACCACACAAGGGGGCCAGGTTTTGCCAACAGTAGGGCTGTGGACAGGGCTGTTTGACAGTGTGGGGATAAACAGCGTTCTGAAGCTTGGCCTATCCGTTGTGGATCTCTTTCCTACAGCCTAGACTTTCAAACATCTGACCTAATGGAGAAGAGCAGGCTCCAGATGGTTGAGCAGGTGCATTTTGCTGTATCTGCACGAAGACAAAGAGCACGTACAACAGAATTGTATTTTGATTGCACCAGTTCCATTCTTAAAAGGAGCCATTTCAAAAGATTATCTCATACATAAAAGAAACAGTCGGGCCCTTTTATGGCTGTTTTATGTAGGGATATCTGTGATCAGAGATCCCRTACAGGACTCGGGGTGTAGCACAGGGGTACTACTTGCCCGGCATTTGCAAAGCCCAGGGTTCAATCCCTAGCACTGCAAAAATAAGACAAAGATCACTTAACCACTCATTTAGGAATGTGTTATTCAATTTCTTAAAATGTCTAATTAGGGTTAGTTTTTGTCAACATTTAAAATTCATCCACATTTCYAGAACACATACAACTCAGCGGACTGGCTGTCACTGAGGAAGGCAGACTGGGAAATCACGGAACACCGAATTGATTTGAGGTTGTCCCCCTGCCCCCCAGCATACCTGGAAGACTAGAAAGGTAGTTAACCAATAGTTACTGGGCATCTGCTGTAAATTGCTGCAAATGTGTGGGTGAAGGTGAGGAAGTTCAGAATATTAAGAAAGCTTGAACTTTGCTCTTCCCAACAGTGAACCTGGATCAGTTCCCAGGTACCTGTTTGTTCTTTCTGGATATTAATTTTTTTGCAGTGGCCAGGCGAGGTAGCACACGCCTGTAATCCCAGAGGCTGAGAGGCAAGAGGATAGCTAGTTCAAAGCCAGCCTCAGCAAAAGTGAGGCACTAGGCAACTCAGAGGGACCCTGAATCTAAATAAAATAAAAAATAGGGATGGGGATGTGGCTCAGCGGCCAGGTGCCCCTGAGTTCAATCTCAGGTACCCGCCCCCTCCACCAAAAAAAGCAAACACACATTGATTTGCAAATCCACATATAAAATGGAAATAAATCAGGGCAGACATGGATGCTGTGGCTTATTGTAGACTCCTATAGGTAATACTGAGCTTGAACAATACTAGTTAGAGTATGTCACATCTTCAAGTGGCCCATCCACTGCTTGAGGAGCAGAAATGTGCATCCTGGTTTCTGGAGTAGGGCTGGAGGGGGGTACTTCAATGAGAATGAAATGTTGACCAGCCAGCCTCTCAAACCTGTGTCAACATAAACCAACTAGCGCTTATTCAGCATTGAAAAGTCATTCCAGTGGCTAGAAAAAAGGAATATTTAAGCCAAATGAAACTCAGAAAGATAATATTTTATTTTCAGAGCAGCTGATGCAATATTGAATCAGGTTTTCACAATAAATAGGACAGCGTGTATTTGGTTACATTTCTATTTTGATGAATGCCCGTCTCTAGGAATTGTAATAAATTTCTAAGGTAAATGACTGAAACTGAAGTAAAATTCTCCCGGTTCTCTTCCTGAAAAAGTATTGTGATAATTTTAAAAAATACTTAACACTCAGGTGGGGAAACAACCTACAATGCCCCAGTTATTATTATTGTTATTTTTAAGGAATGCACCTTTTTAGGACAAGTCTATAAAACATCTTTATTTATTTGTTACATATGATGTTTAAATATAACTTTGCTTTCAAGCTTCAAACTTTTTTAAACCCCTGGTAAAATAAGACTTTTGGTTCACCTTAACAAAAACTGACCTAGGAAGAAACATTTTTAGCAAAATGTTATTATAAAATTCACTAGAAAATACTGTCCTCTTTTTGCCAAAATGTTACATAAAATCCTTATTAAAAATACACACATTACAAAAGAAAAATTATGAATATGCTATACATAGTGCTTTGATATGGACCAAGGGACCTGCATTCTGGGAAAATACAGTTAAGCACACTGAATATTAAGATGTCAACTGATAATAGTGCAAACCTGAATAAGTTACATCCCGATATGGAAGGCATGCAAGTCATCTGTTGAGAACAGAACATAAAGAAGCCAGAACAGGAAGCAATCACAGCCGCTATTTAAAAATGTTTTCATTTTTATTACATTAATTTTTTTCAAAAATACTTTTCTTTACAATAGAACTCCTAGAAAATATTTACAACCTTCCTCTAATAAAATATAACAGCAGTTAAATATATTTGAAAATAAGATGGGTTTTTCCATAAAATATATCTGTTAACTTTTTATATACAAGCTTTCTCAAAGAGGTCTAAATTCACTAATGAAAAACCATCTGATAGTAAACAGTAACCGTGTTGAAGACATTAACCATTAGGAAGAAAAGTTCTTTGGGGTGGGTGGGTGGGGGACGCAAAAACACAATACATCCATGCAGGCAGATCATTCCAGAAAAAAAAAAAAAAAAGTAAGTGCAATATATTATACTAGGAAGTCGATTCTTTGATAGTCAAGAAATACTAATTCAGATATTTGAACTGTCTCATTAAGGAGGAGTTCTTTGGTTATTTCAAGTCCAAGATCCTTACCCTATACTGCATGGAAAATTAAAATTAAATTGTGCATTATATTTTTTGCTGTGACAACTCAGTTTATTTTTAATGTTTAAAACTGGAACAGCCGAGCAAGTCTCCAAATAGAAGGGATAMATTTGCTTTATAAACATTTTTCTGGGCATTTGGTCTTTTGATAAGCTTCTACACACCCAATGGCAGAAACCATTCCAGGCTCACCCTCAGACCAGAAGGAGGTCACTTCAAGATCTGCTGATGACATGACAGTTGCAATGGTTCTGTAATAACTCTGCCACCAAGCTGGTGCCTGATGCCCAGGCAGTTCTTAACTCAGAACTGCTTAGATAAAACAACAGGATAGATTAACCTGTTGAAATGGCAGCAAACAAAGCAGTTTTTTTTTTTTTCCTTAAAGAGGAAGGAAATCTCCAAGACATCTTCTCTGAAAACAGAATGCTGGAAATGAGAAAATCTTTGTATTTTTCTTCTGTCTGTGGCTTTCCTGAGATTCAGAAACCACTGCCTGTATGGGGCTATGACAGGTCACAGTGGGCCCCCGTGAGTGTGTGCTAAATGTTTTTGCAAAGTCAAATTTAAAGGATGCTCAGGTCCTGTCCTCATGCCTCTGCTGATTTTCTGTCTGATGTCCAGCTATTACTGTGCCAGAAAAGTGGCCCAGAGTGATAGCCACCTTTCTGTGGAGCTGGGTAGCTACCGAGGGAGGGGACAGGCCTGAGAACACCTGCTCCAGAGGTCATGTGGCATTAACACTGAAAAGGGGCCAAGAGGAGCAGATCCCCTCCTTGCCAGGGCTAAGTCCCGGTCTGACTTTTGCGCTAACAGTGGGATGGGTCAGTCTGACTCAGTTCTAATAGCCCGGATATTGACATTTTTGAAGGATTACAAAGTTTATTGCCTTCAAGTACAAACAGCAACCCTGCTGACAGGGGCAGGAGGAGGCAGAGCAAAGTCATGCAGCTTTGTGAAGTCTCGAAGTGCTTTGGTAAGTGACTTGTAATGAATACATTCATTGTTTGAATGCAAACATTGAAGCAAAAGTGTATCTGAAACTATTTTTGTTGGCCTTCCAAGCTACTTCCTTCCTATTTGAAATCATGACCTGTTAGAAAACCCTCTCTTAGCTGGTATCTAGGGAAACTTCAGTCCAGCAGACACGAATTACAGCAAATTCCCAGTGAGTGTTGTTTTCATCGATCTTTCAAGTGGCACAAAGTAATTTCAGAACTCCACTGACCGTGAACAGCATTGCAAAAAGAATAGGTTCTTCTGATCTATTTTTTTGGTGGAGGAAAAAGAACAATTCCTGACAGATCTGAACAGAAAAATAACTCTTGGTGGGAAAAAATGGCCCAAGGCCCCAGCATGAAGAGCGCAGCCTGCTTCACACACACACGCACACACATAYACGCACACGCACACGCATGGCAAGCTTTGGGATAGAAGGCAACCAGGATGGTTGACATCTGAAAGCAACGGAACAGGACGCCAAGTCCATTCCCTGCTGGGAATGATCTTGTGAGGATGTAGCCCAGATGAAACACCTCTTAAAGATAGTTGTGCCAATTATTTATTCCCCCAACCCCCCCAACAATTAAAAAAAAAAAAAAAGGAAAAGAAACTGGATTTTTTTTCTAAACCTGAATAAAACGACCACTTTTTAAACAGGTAGTTTAAAAGGGTTACAAAACAAGCGGGCAGTCCAGGTTTCCTGATTAATAAAGACGGAGGCAGTGGGTTCTCACTGTCTCTAAGCAACAAACAGGGCTTTAGAGTTCCGCGTCACCCTGAAGCAAAACTGAATCTTGGTCATCTAAGAGAAGATCGGTGTCCACGACCTCAGCCTCTTCCATGACGCCTCCCAGCTGCTGGACCACGTCGTCATCGAGGGTATCTGCATCCTTGATGGGCTTGATCAGACCCAGCTGGTCCAGAGGCAGGAGCCCTGGCGTCCCCACCGACCCCGTAGTCCTCTCGATTGTGGCTGCCATTTCTGCTGCGAAAGCTGCCTTCTGAGCCTTTTGCCTCTGCTGCTCCTCCTGTTGCCTGTGAGTTTTCATGTGTGCATTTCGGCTTTTGATCTTGAAGAAGACTCTAAAAATGAAGAAAAAGCAGCATGTAAAATTTACAAGGAGATCTGAGTTCCTGGAGATCCCAGTGTCCTATGGGGAATGGGGGTGCAGGTTGGACATCTGGCTTGGGGTGGCTTTGACAGAGTTCTAGGACATTCTCTTGCTGTGGCCTATTACCTCCTTTTCCTCCTCTCCAAGCATTAGAGGAAGAGGAATGGGAACAGGAGCACACTGATGGCATGATTAGGCTCCTTCCCAGGACAATGCCCGAGGCCTTTGAGAAGGTCTTTGGGTCCTTCTGGGGTCTGGAACAAGTGCTCTTTCTCCTTCTTCAGCCTCCCTGCCTCCACATCACTAACCATGCCCTCTCCAACAGAGAATCCCCAGATCATACTATCGAGCTCTGAGAGTCCCCATCATAAACAACCCAACATCTGCCCTGGCCTCTGTCCCCGTTCTTCCGGTTAGGGTAGTTGAAGGATACATACTTGGTACATCCCCCTTTCTCTCCTCTGCCCTCTCCAATCAGCCTCTTGTTTTCTCCACTTCAACCTGACTTTCCTTCTCAAGGTCACAGGGAACCCTGTACRGTCAATTTCAGTGGCCTCACTTCTGTCTTCTTGATGTTTGACTTCTGAGCTGTATCGACACGTCTTTTCATTGAAAACCCCTTCTTGTTGGCCATCATATATAATTTTCTACTAAGACTAAAAGTGGGTCCCAGCTGGGGGTGATTATGCCCTCCCAGGCAACACTGGGCAATGTCTGAAGACATTTTTGGTTGGGGGAAGAGTTCTTCTGACATTAAGTGGACAGAGGCCAGGGATGCAGAAGAAGCCTGTTCCCCAGCAAGTAATTACCATATGCAGATGTCAAGAGTGCTAAGGTTGAGAAGTCCCAGGATAAAAGGATAGCCATCATATTTGGGGGTTATTCTTAACCAGAGGCCTGCAAACTATGGTCAGCAGATCAAATCTAGCCTATTTTTTTTTATAAATAAACTTTTAACAGAATGCAGCCATGTGGATTTGTTTGTTCTGTTTCTGGCTGCTTTTGTGCTACCAGGGCAGGGCTGAGTAGCTGATGCACAGACAGAATGGTCTGTAAGGCCTAATGTATTTACTATCTGGAACATTTTTCCAGAAAAAAGTTTGCCCAGAAGGGAGACTATGTTTATGAATAGGGTACATAAGTACTCTATTATTATTATTATTTACTTCCAAGTTCATAAAGGATAAACAAACAAACAACAAACCCAAAAGCCTGATTTCTAAAGCCTAAGTAAGTTAAACAGGGTTGATGAATTCCATTTAGACACAATGAAAATTGTTTAATGTAATAAACATAATTCCAGCAACTAAGGGAGGCATCTGTGAACATTTACTTAATATCATTCCCAGGATGGAAAAAGCACAAAAAGTAGTTCTATTTTCCATAAAAATTTAACTGGACTTTTGGTAGAAAAAGAACCCAAGCAACATAAAAATGAGGAAAGTTTTAATCATGCCACTGAAAGACATAAAGCATGAAATACAGGTCGAATATCTCTTATCAAAAGACTTGGGCCCAGAACTGTTTCAGATTTTGGAGATATATATATTAAATATTTGTATATACATAAGAGATATCTTGGGAATGGAACCCAAGTCTAAACACAAAATTCATTTGTTTCATATATACCTTACACACATGGCCAGATGGTATTTTTATACAATAATTTTTAACGATTTTGGATTTCAGAGTTTCAGACTAGGTATGATCAATCTGTATGAATTTTTGTTAAAGTGTCCTTTGTCTCCACCTGGTGGAATAAGAAGTTATAACCTGTTTGAASGGAATAAGTGAAAGGTATGGGCTTCTCTCAGAGGGGATGGCAAGACTCCACTGTCCCCACACTTCTACTCTTAGACAAGTGGGAGAGAACTGAGCTTGGGGTGGTGTAACCTTCTTCCAAGCAAATAAGCATTATGATCAGTCTGTGGACTCATTCAATCTGCGGCTCCCTCAATGTGTGTGTGTTGGGGGTTAGGGGGAGAAGATGACGTCATTTTCATGCTTTGAAAGCACAGAGGGGGAGACCAACACCTAAATCCTCCTCTCCCATCCCTGGCTCCACAAGGGGTAAGGTAGATGTGGGTCCAGTGCCCTGTAGTGGGTGCCCCAGAAACGAATTAGGTTTACACAGAGGCAGCTTGGCCTAGAGGCTAAGCACACAAGGCTGGCCCAGACAGCGTGCTTTGTACCCTAATGTGGCCTAAACTTTCCGTGCCTTAGTTTCAGCTTACTAAGAGTGACTAAGAACACCTGCCTCGTAAGGTATTCTAAAGAGTAAATGAGTCAATACATGCAAAAATTCTTTAAAATAGTGCCAGGCAAATAACGAGGACTGACTGATTGATGGCAGCTACTATAATGCTGCCGGATACATTCTGTGAGAATGTGGAGGGAGAGGTCTCCAACTGGCTTTACTTATGTAACTAGAGATGCTTTCTTGGCAATTTCAGCCTCATCCTGGTTGGTGTCTCTCCAGGTGACATTTCTTGTGTTTGAGGCACTGGAGGTTATGGGAAGAGAAACTCAGTGAGGCTCCTGAAAGATCGGCATGACCATGAAATGCCCTCAAATCACTCACTGGGAAGGAAACTGGAACTCTCCTAGAATTCCATGAGAGAACTATGCACCTTACCATCAATGATATTTTCTTCCTAAGGTAAGCAAACAAAGCAAACCAAAAGGAAAGAGTAACGGCAGGAACTCAGGCTTTGCCTATAGACTGGCTGGGTTCAAATCTTGGTTCTGTTCTTCACTGGCAGTGTGGCCTGAGGCAAGGCATTTTACCTAATTTTAAATCCTTATTTGTAAAACAAGGATAAAGACAGCGAATGCATCATATGAAGTTTCTGTGTGAGAACTGAGTTCATGTACATGAAGTAAGTACTCAGTAAAAGTTAGCTGTTTTTATTACTACCTACTGTCAAGTTTCCCCTTTAGTTGTTATAAACTATCCCTAAGAGGGCAGGGATAACAAATAGGTTTTATCCATGTATCAACTCTAATCAACTGGTTGTATAAACTTGAAGCATGATCATCAAAAGAATCTGAGGCCCTGTCTTAATGTGATAGCCGTGAGTGTGGTGCTTGATTAGTGATGTCTGCCCTGGGAACAGGAGCGAGCGGTGGTGGAAGGCATGTGATGTTTTGCCCACCTCTGCTATAGAGAGCTCCTGATTAGCTGTTCTGGAGCCATTCTCAAAAAACTTAGCGGGGGGGCTGGGGATGTGGCTCAAGTGGTAGCACRCTCTCCTGGCATGCGTGCGGCCCGGGTTGGATCCTCAGCACCACATACAAAGATGTTGTGTCCGCCAAAAACTAATAAATAAATATTTAAAAATTCTCTCTCTCAAAAAAAAGAAAAAACACTTAGCGGGGATGCAAAGATAAGTGACATTAGTGAATACAGTTTGGGTATGCACGGAGAAAGTGGAAATTGGCATTCCACACATTTCTGCAAAGAAGTGAAGTTTGTCACTAGAGGTTTGCTCTCTGAAGATGTTTGTCCTTCTAGGACACTAGAATGGCCATTTTCTGAGTCAGAGAGACAGTTCACCTTACAGATTCTAAAGATGGCATGAAGGTGAGTTGAGACTCTAGATTCTTCCTCTAGCTGATGAAACCTCAGACTGTGTTGGCCTGGCCCCTACAGAGCCATCATCCACTGTGGTTCAGACCTTGGTTCAAGTGCACCTACTTGCCACACTCCTTGCAGGGGAAGATGGTGGTGGGGTCTGTCTCGCCACTGGTGGTGCTGTGAGAAGGTGAACTCTTCACAGAGCAATACCCACTCTGGGTGCCGCCAGGCTTCTGCTTCCCAGAGGGGACAGCACCTCGAGTCTTGGTCACCTGGTTGGTGCCACCATGGATGCGGGCATGGCCATTCAGTGCCTGTCGGGAGCTGAACACCTGGGGAAGAAAGGGAGTGACATGACATCTACAGTCCTGAAAAGGAAATTAGGGTTATTAGTTACTCATTGGTAAAACAGTAATACATGAAACAGTGTCTAATGACAGGCACAAGCGTTTTATCTAAGCAAACTCTGGGCTTATGCCACAGAAAGCCAAGCTCAAATACCACAACCGCAAATGCTGTGCCAACCCAAACCCCATCACTGTCATAACCTGAGAGGCAACGTGGCACATGTGTAAAGGACAAAGGCACCATCTCAAATTCAGGAGACTGGGGGTCTATATCCAGCTTGTCTTAACTCACAGGTGGCTCTTAGGCCATTTCCCTTTGGGACATCTCATTTTTTTCCCCCATATGTAAAATGAGGGGGTTGGACCAGCTTTCAAACTTTTTTTTTTTTTTTTTTTTGGCTAAAAGCCAATTCCTTCCTTTTTTATTAAAGAATTAGGTCTTACCCCAAACTCAGGTGAAAAGCAGAGATGCTCTGGCTGAAACGGAGCAGACCAGAATCCAGCCCACTTACTCAGCCCTGTCTCTGTCCAGGAAGCTCTAGTGCCCCCAGGAAGAGTGGGAAGGACATCGATGAGGTGCTCTGGCACACTCTCTACCTTATGTACAGCCTCAATCAGTAGCCCATTGCTTAACCCCCTCCCCCAACCACCAGTGCAAGGGCTGGAATCCAGGACCTCATGTGCTGGTGCTTTGCCACTGAGCCACACCCCAAACTCAGAAGCCCATTGTTTAAGCAGTGTTTAAGACCCCCACATTTCAATTCAGGATAATACAAAGGGGAAGAATCTGCAAGTCTTTTTCAAGATTCCATAAAGCAGGGGTTGTAGCCTCAGCACTACGGATACCTGGGGCTGGGTGATTCTTCACTGTGGGGACTGTCCTGTGCACTGCCAGATATTTAGCAGCACTTCTGGCCTCTACCCACCAGGTGCCAGTAGCACCTCCATAGTCCCGATGAAAATGGCTCCAGACATGGCCAAATGTTCTTGGGGGAATGGAATGTTCTTGGGTCCTCAGTTCAGGACCACTACAATCCAGACCCCTGAATCCCAAGAGCCCGGACTTCCAGCTTATGAAGGTTAACCGCTAACAGGGAAGCCCATCAAGCTGCCCAGCTCTAGGGGCTGCTCTGTGTTCATCCACAAGCCGTTTTTATTGTCTTACAGAGAAAAACAAAATCTATCACTGATTTGACAACTACAGCCTCTATTGTTATGCAAAGAAAAAAACCAGCATGCTTTCCCCACTTTGATTTTAAAAAGTCATTAAAAAATATCTGTCTTGCTGAGCTTTTCTGATGGGGCTGAGTAAAAGATGACTTCCCGCTCAGTAAAAAATTTACGGTACACTCTAACTATGAATTGAGGAAGTATCCAATTTCTGAACAAATTCACCAAGAGATGTTGTCATTTAAAGTCACATCTTAATCATCCCTGAACTGAAGCACTCCATACAAAATGGCAGTGACAGAGTGAAGAGGTTGGGTCATTAAATAACCCAGATGGAAAGAAGTTGGCAGGTTCCATTCTCTTCACAGCTAATGCAAAATGTATACATTTTTAAAAAAACTTTTTTCCTTAAATGTAAATCAATACATTTCTGCTTTAGGATATGAATATTTTAAAGACTGTTGCTTCTTTCATCTAAGTGACAGACTCAATAAGCAGCATTTGATACACTCTATATTAAACAAACATAAGACAAGAGCACTAACTTGAGGACAAGGGGCGTCACTGTAAAGGAACAGCATCCTCATTTTGGGATAATATCTCTAAAATTTGCCTGTCCAGGTATGCCCGGCTCTAAGAAACCTGATTTGGGAAAAGCTCCCCAATTTATACTAGTGGGGGAGGCAGGTGGAAACCTGAAGTCCAAAAGAACCTTTAAAATTTTCCTTTAAAATATGCATGGAGCCTTTGATGGTCTGGTGTAGCTTCTGTAAGGCCCTCCTTTAGTGCAGGGAATGAGTCTAGGTGGTTACACAGACTCCCTTTCAGGTGTTTACATGATTAGTTTGCTAGGTCAATCTTTCTGTCCCCACAGAGTACAAAGACAAACTTTAGCTAAATCTTTATAACAACCTTCTCAAATTTCAAATTAGTGACATTTGAATTAGTAACATTTTATGGAATATGAGATGCAAAACCTTCCAGATAGGTAAAACTACAGGCAGTGGGGCAAGTAATTGCATTTATAAAAGGCTGATTCTGTCTGGAGGTGCCCTTGTTCATTTAAATGCATGCCAACAGGGCATGACCTTGGGTGACATGCAGCCCAGGAGGTTCAGAGGCACTAAGAAACAGTGGGCTTTCTGAAGGCCACAGCTTGCTTTGAAGTTTTTCATTTATTTATTTTTGCAGTACTGAAGATTGAACCCAGGAACACTTTATCACTGAGATATATCTCCAGTCATTTTTTAATTTTGAAACAGAATCTTGCTGAGCTGGCCTCAAACTTGTGATCTTCCTACCCCAGGCTCCTGAACTGCTGGGATTATAGGCGAGCTCCACTTCACCTGGTTAGTTCTGTGTCTTTCTTTCTTTTTTGTGCTGGGAAATAAACCCAGAACCTTGAACATTCTAGGCAAATGCTCTACCATTGAGCAACTTCCCTAGCCCTGCTACAGAGCTCGGAATCAGCCTGAGGACTGAATGTGTGTGTATGTGGTATTGGGATTGAACCCAGAAGGCACTGTCACTGAACTACATCCCCAGGCCTTTTTATTTTTTATTTTGAGACAGGATCTTGCTAAGTTGCTGAGGCTGGCCTCGAACTTGCGATCCTTCTGCCTCAGCCTATCTAGTTGCTGGGATTACAGGCATGGGCCATTGAGCCAGGTTAGGGACCTTCTTTATGTCCTCTAACCACAGCATTATGCTTAACAAAAAATACATGCCATAAATATCTTGACTTAATGAATAAGAGAACTATGGCCACATGGAGTGGCCTCTACCAAATTTTCATTGCTCAAAGTATAGCCTTTCAAAAATGCATCATCTCTTACAGTTAGGGGCAGCTGCATGGCCCTCACTTGCTCCAGATCCCTGGACAACACAGACACTTACAGCCCCACAGTTGGGCATTTCACAGATGAAGGAGCCGGAGGGCTGGCCAAGGGCCTGCAGGGGTGGTCCCTCGGTGGGAGCCAGGACAGGGACTGGTGGTGGCTCCGGGGACTTTGGGGGTTCACTTTCTTCTTCTTTTGTGGATTTCCTGTCTTCCTCCAGGTCCTCCTCCTCTTCCTCTAACTCTTCTTCTTCTTCRCTTGTCTAGTATTAATAAAAGCAAGAAGGGGACATCCCCACATAACATTTTTAGTGATGAACAGAATTTACAGATCAGTAGATCAGCAAGGGGCTGGTGCTGAGGCTGTGGTACTTAAAAAAAATTTTTTTTTTTTTTTTTCTGGTACTGGGGATTGAACCCAGGGGCACTTTCCCACTGAACCACATCCCCGGCCCTTGCTATTTTTAATTTTGAGACAGGGTCTTGCTAAGTTGCTGAGGCTGGCCTTGAACTTRTGATCCTCCTGTCTCAGCTTCCTGACTTGCTGGGATTACAGGCGAGTGCCACCATGCTCGGCTGCTGTGTCACTTTTTTTCCACACAAGGAATGGCTGACAGAGCCCATAGGGCTCAATCTCTGAAAGGCTGGTCTCTGGACACTTGGGAGTTTGAGGTCAAGGAAGTCTCCCTGCTGTGCTTTGGGTCCCCTCATCCCTTATACAAAATTATACTGTGGCAGAGAGGAGAGATTTCTTTATCTACAGATTCCCCTCCTTGTTGGGTATCATCAGACCTTACAAATGACTAAAACTCAGGTAGGCTGCCCTGCTCCTGAGGACCTCCTTCCCCTCCCAACAGTGGGAAGGGTGTTTTCAGGAGCSCCCTCTGGAGAGAGACTATAGAGACCCATAATGATTTGATTTATAGGCTTTATATCATACTTCCAAGAGAGATGCCCAATTTGCCCTGTGATGCACGGAAAGCAGCCTGGCTCAGAGCTCTCCTCCTCCATTCTTATCAGAAAATAGAATGAAAAGGAGAAAATGAAGGGGGTATTCCCTTTTATTTGTCATGTGCTTTTTCTTTTTTCTCTGGCTGTGGACTTGCAGAAAGGAGTGTATTCGATGTTTCTGTTTATTTATTATCTCCTTCCAGAGACATTTTATAAAATAAAAAGAAAAAAAATAAACAAGAGACATTTTCCATGAAAATATATCCTCTTGGCTACTCTGCTCCTTCTCCACTTCAGAACAGGAACCACACAGAGAATTAAACAAAGTTCCCTCCCTGCCTCAAGGTTAATAGAAGAGCAAGTTCCCAGGGCAGCCTGGAGTGGGTGCCTGGCTGGTTGGGATGGGACACAGGGATCCAGGAACCCCTCATTCAACCTCTTGCTTAACTAACTATTTAATTCTTCTCTCTCTGTCCTTGTGGGGCGGGGCAAGGGCTGTGGCCCAGGGAAAAGGCATTCTATGTTACAGTCCCCTCATTTCAGCGTATATTTTACAGTTTACAAAAGTGTGCAGTAACAAGGGGCTGTGATATGTCACTGAACAGGCCGTAAACAGTCCTCCCATTTTACAAAGGAGGAGACGAAAGGCATGATGGGCTGCCTCTGCCCCCAGCAGGTCATTTGTCCCTACCAGGCCCTCCTCACAAACCCACTGCTTAGAGCATATGGTCTAGTCTGCTTTTCCCTGGAGTGACGTAACTGGTAAAACCATGATTCTTAGAACCCAGAAACTCAAATTTCCAAAAAGAACAATTTCTGAAGAGTAGCAGTACTCTGGGATCCAGTAACCACAAACATCCTCCCTCCAGTCGGTTTTGGGATGTGTGAGAGAGAAAGACAATACCAGTCAATATGAGGTATCTAGCACCCTCTGACTGTTTCAGTATTATCCACTGGTAATTATCATGTATGTGCAYATTTGAGATGATGTATTAACAAGGTATATTTAAGAAATGGTCCCGATTTTCTGTATGGTAATTAAGATTATTAAGGATTATATTTGCTGGAAGACTTCAATGAACACTGATGTTGGCCTTATACATTTTACAGAGTGGTGCATGATATAAGCTGTAGGTCTCTTATGGGTACAGAACATGCAAAGGAGAGTTCACTGAGGTGGTCTTATTCCTATAGGAACCCACTATTTTTCAAACCCAGAATTTCTGGCAACACTATGTTATATGCAACTCTACAGGTTTCCCCCACTTCTTTATAGAACTGGGATTTTGTGATCTCAAATAGTAAGTGGACCATGGTCTACAGTTTTGGCATTTTAAATGAATTAAATAATAACTTTTAATGAAAATGGTTTCATGGTTACTTGTTGTAATTATAATTTTCCCACAATGCCATTTTTTGGCTTAAAAACTCTTAGAAGAAACTCTCCATGTAGCCACAAAATTACGGACTAAATTATTCCGCACTGTGATTATGAATGCCTCAGGAATTTAGATAGGTTTTATTTCAACTGGCAATCTATACTAGTTCACAAAATGATTTATCATCGAGCCATATGGCCCAACAGAGTGACTAAGAGATGCAAAGATAGGAGGACAAAAATCCTAACATGTAGAACTCTGTATCAACAAGTTGGCCACTTYATGATGTATTGCAAAATGAAACATGTAGTAATATTCCCGAGTTAGAGGAAAGTGGTCAAATATGGGTGGGGAGGAGGCTGTATATTTAATATGGTGCCCAAGCTTTGAGTACAAAAAGTATTTTTTACTTCTCAGGCATGCAAAGGAAATTCACATGATGAAAAATGTCAGCAACCCAAGTCTGCTCAGATAAAAATCTGAGTGTTATGGTCACTAGTGATAATGGTGACAAGGTATGGAATGCTTGTGCCAATCAAGCAATGCGCACACACACACACACACACACACACACACACACACACACACACTTCTAGTTCTCACAACAACCATGTAAAAACTCTTTTTTTAAACAAATGAGGAAATTTGCCAGAGAAGTAATTTTCCCAAGGTCACATGGCTGATGAACTGAGATTCAAAATCTTGCCTGTCTGATCCCAAAATCTCAACCTTCTTCACCCTTGGTCCTGCCACAAATGTCCTCAGGGGGACACTGGTCCATCTGTAACTAGCCTAGAGATCCTAAACTCCCTAGCCATTGAAGCTAGCTGCTCCTGGCCCACTCAGGCTCCCTGCCCTTATACCAGGGTTGGTTTCCAAAGTCAATTAATTGCCTGGGATGGTTCCCTGGATTGTATGATGAGTTCTGGTCATAGTCAGCCCCAGATATGCCCTGAGTGGGGAACATGAGCATGCACAGGGGGCAGGACGGTGTGGGTAGCACGCTTTCTTCCAACCTCCTTAACAGAAACCCACACCCCTATAACTCCCTTCTGCCTCCAAGGGAGGAAGGGCCTTGCAAGGGCTCAGGATGGAAGTCAAACTACCTTGGCTGACCTTGCTATGCTGACCTCCTGGCCTCCTGAACAGCGATGGTTCCTTACAAACCCCTTAAGTCCTCAATAATCCCTGCGCTCCTGAGCGTGTTCCTGTGTATTCCATCCAGGTGAGGGAAAATGCTCATCTGTTCTTTACTAAAACACTGAGGTTACAAGAGCAGGAGAGTTGTCCCAGCTGTGCCAGACAGGCCGRGAGGACAAAAAGCAGGACCATGTCCTAGGACTGTGCTTCCCCTACCTTCCCAGCCTTCCCTTTCTTCATCTCTACTTGGCGAACTGTGCTTAGAAGCCTGACTGTGCACATGGTGCCCATGAAAGAACTGGGAGCACCCTGCTGGCCTTAAATCAAGATTTTCTTGTTTCTTTGGGCCTGAGTCATCTCTGCACATAAGCTTTTTGCTCTTCTTAAGCTCATCAATGAGGGTGTGGATGCTCCTGACCCGGCCTGATACTGGCTCCTGGGGATTCAGCCCAAGAAGGTGTGGCCCCCTGGGCACTGTCTTAACCCCCACTCCTTCTCTGAGGCTACGTGCTGGCCTGGGCCTCTCTACCCACCTTTAAAGCAACACCAGCCAAGATGGGCCTCTGCCTAACATGTTCCTAGTGGCACCACTCTGTCAACATCCCACTGTTCATTCCACCTCCCCCAGGGAGTTCAGAGGGAATGTTGCTGTGAACCAGAGTGACTCCTATTTCAGAAAAATGTTCACTCACTCACTGAATGGCTATTTATTGTTTTGGCAGTACCATAACTGCACATTGTCCTAGGCATTTCGTAACACCCAAGTCTAAGAGACACCAATTTACCTTGGGAGACCATATCTATTGACTTTGCCCTCTCCCAAAACATGACTCAGACAGAGCCCAGAACATTTCAGAATTGGAAGGGACTTTCCAAATCACTGAAATCACCTGCCCTCTTTTACAGGTCAGCAGGTCTACAAGTTAGGTCCTAGGTCTCCAAGGCCAAGCTTCTTTGTGCTTCCTTGTTTACTGTCTACTCTGCTCATTGGGAAAGCCATGCTGTATGACCCTAGGCAAGTCCTCCCTTTCTGGATCTCAACCTTCTGCCTGTGAAATGGTGGGGCTGGATGAGCATCTATATCTAATACATTCTGGTTCTCAACTCATACTGCTTTTAAACACCCTTGGGGTTCAGGGTGAAGTTTCCACCTGTGTATGTTGCATGTCCCAACCAGAATATATACTCTGAGAGGTGGGTGGAGAGAAGGCAGATACCATTTAACCTCCTTGCTGTTTACATCCATACTTGTTACTGTTTACCTTGTGGGGACCAATAGCTTTTAGTTGACTGAACTAGAGGAGGCCACCCTGTTTTTTTGAACGTTCGGCTACAGATGAGCAAGAGGATATTCTGTTATGACTTCACAACTTAAACTGAACAAAAGCCCTGGTCACAGGAAATCCTGAATATGGAATACTGCCACTTCTGATTTTTAAAATGGCAACACCAATCTAATACGCAGTTCTCTTATTTTCTCTGACATTTGGGCCCACCAATAAATGTATCTATGCATGTGTATTCCACAAGCTAGGATCAATTCCTAGCTAAAATACATTATGAGCCCAAGTGTTTTTATACTTCTCTAAGAAAATTTGCATCTGACTGTTCTTAAGTATTCCACAAGGGACTCAGGCTCCAACAACACACTCACCAACTGGGTGACCATGGCCTCCTCACTTAAACTCCATGTCTCAATTTCCTACCTTACAGAATTGGTATTAGATAAACTGTATTGGATTAGATGAGTCAATAATATCTGCAAAGTGTCTGGCACAATGCCAAACACACAGAACATGCTGTTTAAATTGCTGTTAAAGAAAATAACCCATGTATGTGCTAATAATACTACTGGGCACAACTGAGACTAAGAATATGATTATAAATATTCACATAGTGCATGAATCCCAGACACTCTGTAGATGGTGATAAAGACTATAGTTTAGTAATTTGTTCTAAGACATAATTTTACATACACATACATGATAGATAAGATAATGTTTTCCACAAAGTGGGGAAAGGAGATTTCCTCTGGATATGGATGCAGAGAAGGAGTTAGTTTATAAGGATCTCAAGTGACAGTAATCACCAAAGCCACACACATAAGGGTTCAGAGACTGCTTCCATCTTAGGTCTTTAGTATGTACTTAATTTTAATATGCAGAAAACTTTAGATTGTCTGCTAATGAAGGAAATCAAGGCCAGGGTTAAATAATAATGGAAAGATTGAGATTATCCACACACTGCTACCCACTTCTGTCTGACTTATCTTCATGGCAAAGCCGAACCAAACCTAGCCACTAACTAACCTGGGGGTGGGGTGGGAGTGGGGCCAGCAAGGCAGCAACTGACTTAGTTGCCTCACTCACCACACAGTCGTCGATGATTTCTGCCAGTCGTGTCCGGTGTTTCCGCCCTAACCGCATTATCTTCTTCCATGTATAGTAGTACTCCACGCACTGAGCCACCGTCTTCGACTTCACCTGTCAGGAGAGTGCGTTTGAGATGAGCTCCAGCAGCGGGCAAGCTTTTTTGAATATTTGGTTTTGTTCAGTCACTAACAGGCTTCTACATTCAATAAACAATGAATACACCAAAAAGTGTCTCTCGCACACCTGATCTCACTCCTCACCCCTGCAACTCTGGAAGCCCCTCCTAGTTTCTTGGGTACAATTCCAGAGTTTTCTTTATGTAGGTACCAATAAGTGCAAATCTGCATTTCTCCCTCCATACCTTTCCTGACAAGAGGTAGCAAACACACTGGAAGTTTATTTTTTTACAACTTGATTGCTTTCACAATGACACTTGGAGAGTTTTAGAGATCAGTTCAGAGACTTTCATTTTCTTTTTTTAACCAGAAAAAGCAGTTGCTTTTTTTTTTTTTAATTTTATTAGAACTTTATAGTTACACATAGTACTTGAGTTAGTAGTTGCTTTTTCATTTAACTTGCTTAGGTGTGCTTAGCTTTCTGACTTGTTGACCTTCAAAATTTATTTATAAACAGTGTGTATTAGAATAGGAATATAAGGCAAGAGTTATGATAACAGAGCTTGGTTTCTGCAGGAAACAAGTCTTGCCCTCTTCATCCCTCAAAAGGCAAGGGTGGCTGGTCCTTATTCAAGAGGTGTGGAACTGTAAGCACTCCAGATATTCAGATTTTGATTTAAAAAAATTTGGAAAATTTGCATAGACTTTACTAGTTCTACATTCTCAATCTGAAAATCCAAAATCTAAAATATTCCAAAATCCTTAGGGCTGCTCAACCTGTATATGTATTTAAAAGTGAAAACATGCCTTTATTTAAGTGTGAGCTCAGGTGGGGCTTAATCAGGTGGGTTTTCTGGATGCAGAATAAAGGGTGGCCCTATCTTCAGAGTGGGGGTGATGATGAGATGAAAAGCCCTATTCTCTTCTAGGTTGTCTTTTTCAACATGCAGCTGAAATCTAGGATTCTTACTAGAATCACCTCAGGGAGTTAGGACACTGTCCCAGAGAGTCGTGCTTAAAAACCTGCATTGGCCGGTGTGGTGGCACACTCCTATAATCCCAGTGGCTTGGGAGGCTGAGGAAGGAGGATTGAGAGTTGAGGCCAGCCTCAGCAACAGCAAGGCCCTAAAGCAACTCAGTGAGACGCTGTCTCTAAATGAAATAAAGCTGGGAATGTGGCTCAGTGGTTGACTCCCCCTGAGTTCAATCCCAGGTACCAAAAACAAACAAACAAAACAAATAAACATCTATATCTCCTGGCTAGCTCAGCACACGAATTCACTGTCACAATGAGCACAGGTCTGGATGTAGTTTGTCCTCCAAAGGTTCAGAAGCCAGGATGGTGTTAGGAGACTGTGAAATCTTTAAGAGGTGGGGTTTGGTGGGAGGACCTAGGTCACTGAGGGTGCTCCCCTGTGAAGGGATGAAGGTGACTCTCAAAGAGCAAGAGCGAGTTGCTGTAAGAATGCTCTGGCTTCCTGCCTCAGGACAAGACCTCCCACTTCTGTGTGTGCTCCTGCCATGATGTCATCGGCTGTTTGTTAGGCTCTCACCAGAGGCTGAACCAACATGGTTGATCTTATGCTTTCATCCCCCAAACTATGAGATAAATAAACCTTTTTTCTTTATAAAGTTTCCCAGCTTTAAGTATTTTGTATAGTAATGAAAAAAGGTGACACCAGATTGGTCCTGGGGAAAGGTGGCTCAAGAAAGGTGGGAGCATGGGATCCTCTCAGCACATGGGGCAGCAAAGGCACGACAAGGCCTTGGATTAATAGCTGGAGACACTTTACCCTAGGACATTGGGACCAACCAGGAGGCAGTGGGAGCTGTCACATGTAACCCTGCTCTCTGTATACTTGGAACATCCTTAATTATCCTTCATAATGCAATATGGCCCCATCATTCATCAGTTTGTTGAAACACTGAATCTTTTAAACTTTTTAGCCTAAAATACCTCTTAGTCAGTTAATCTATTGAGTTTAATATCTATTGTATGAAGTGTGATTTTTACTTATAGGAAAGTTTTATTTTGCTATAAAATGTTGTATGTGGAAGGTATTTTCCTGCCATCTAACTCCAGACACTCTGGATTGGCTACGTGTCCTCCCTTCCACAATACCCCAGGAGGATTCTGTCAGAAACATAATAGATTCATTACAAAGCTTGGTTAGATACATCTGATGTAAATTAGGTGAACTGTGAACCAGAAGCCCCAGTTCTAGTTCTTCTGACAGAGTTAGGAATCACACATTTTTCTTAAGATAGACACCAACACCACAGCAACCAAATAATCTGTCTTCTTTCCCTCCATCTTCTCCCCGTCACCCCAACATTCGGGCTAGGCCACCTATAACAACTACYTTTCTTCACCAGTGAGCAAGAAAGATAGGCTTTTTGTGAGGATGCTAAACCTGCAAACCAAAATTTCTGAATACAGGTATATACTGAGTATGGGTGCACAGTTTTCCAAATTTAATTTCAAGTAAGCAATGGAGGAAATCATTCTTACCATCTTCTGTACAAAAATAAAGTCTTTGCTGTAAGTGGCTAGTGCTTTATTAAACAGTTTTCTTTCTAGGGAGGTCCACTTGTCCGTACCTACAAAGAAACAAAAAACTTTATAAGAACAGCTCACAGTTCTCCCCACCTTTAGTTGCTGGTTTGTTTAGTTAAGTTATACAACACAACAGCCTAGCAAATTATATAATGCATATCAAACTTCTGAGAACAAAAAGCTGGTATAGTGTAATGGTTAGCTGACACTGGGGTTCCAAATTGCAGCTATGGCCTTGACTGTGGCAAGTTACTTAAACTTGATTCAGTTTTGTTACCAATGAAAATAATTATAATTGTTTCTAGGTTTTTGTGAAGGTTAAAGAAGATAATGCACAAACATGCCCAGCTTTAATAACTGGGAAATAGTGAGCACTCAATGAATTTTAGCTTTTACATAATTATTGTTTAGCTTTTACATAATCATTATTTTCTTGAGAGCAAAGCATTCTTCAAGTGTGGATGGATTCTCGATGCTCACAATCTAGTGCAGAGACAAACCAGTAGGATATTGAGTTCAAGGTAAAAACTGCAATTTCGAAGGTAAAGGTGAGTTCCAATGGGCAGAAAGCAGGAACACCACACTGGGGTCAGGGCCATAGGGAAAGTTTACAGGTAGAGAAAACACCTGAGTGGAGTTTAAAGGACACACAGAGGCAAGTTGGGCAATAAGGGGATGACGGGGATTCTGGGGAGAGGAAGTAACAGGCTGCAAGCCAGAGGCAACAGAGACGCTCACTTCATCCACTCATTCATTGACCTGAGAGATTTACTAGGTGTCTACTATAAGCAAACGATGTGCCAACAAGAAAGAGCTAGCACACATGCCAGGTTCTAAGTGTCCTATATCATTAATCATTAGGTTCTACTAACAGCCCTGTAAGACTGAATTACTATTGTCTCATTTTACAGATGAGGAAATGGGTCTTCCATTTATTTATACTAGACCACAGTCTAGTATGGTTCAATCACAGGGTTACGGCAGAGGGAAGGTGGAGGAGGCTGGAGAGGTGAGAGGGATCAGTTCTTAACAGATCTGCACTGATGAGGGAGTCTACGGTGTTGGGCTGGTGCAGTGCCTTGCTGGTGAAGTTAAATATTCATGTTTTTCCTCCACAAAACAGAAAGTCAGATATGCTAATGACATAAAGAATGGTACTGGCTTTTGTGGAGTAAGAAATGAAGCCACCATCTAAAGGTGCTTGCTATGGTTTGGACATGGTTTGAGTGTGTTCTCCAAGGGTTCATATGTTAGGAGTGTGGTCATGTTAAGAGTTGGTGGAAACTTTGAGAGCTGGAGGCCTGAGGGATGCCATTACTAGCTCCTCCCCAGTCACTCTCTGGCTTCCCATCTCACCATGGGTTCTCTTTGTATATGCTCATATCATGACGCCATCCCACAAGTTGTGATGGTAAAAGGGCCCTTGCCAGAGGCCAAACTGATGGCTCCATTCAATCTTGGACTTGTAATCTCCCAAACTGTGAACTAAGTATCTTTTTATAAAAAGTACTCAGCCTCAGCTATTTCACTATAGCAAGAGAAAACTTCCTTAGTGATCTCCTGGGATCACTAAGGAAGGTTCAGCTACTGTGGGTGGTTCACAGAAAACTCAACCTCACTATTCTGGCTTGCCACATTCTCAACATGTCTGATTCTTTAGATGGTTCATGGCTGGGCCTTTGACATTCTTCCACCACTTCTCAGAGCTCTGGCTCCCCAAACCACAGAATCTTTTCTCCCATTCAGGGCTAGTCCAAGGTTTCCATTTTGCAACTGATGGGTATGGAGAACAGGAAACCTGCATTGTTTCTTCTCTTCGAAGATTCAAGTAAAATCAGCAAATCAGGTGAAACCACTTTGAGCAGGCAGGTGCCTCCTTAAGTGTTGGGCAAGGATCCTAGGATCCTTGAGGGAAGAAGTGCCTCAGTGATGTAAACCAACACTTTTTCTGTGATTCCTTGATGGATCCTCAAGCCAAAGCTCTGGCTCTCGACTTAGAATATGGTCTCTGTAGCTGGGCTAGTTCAAACCTCTACAAAGCACAGTAATTACTCAATTTCTTTGGTTTGCAAGTTTATCTTTTTCACTTCTAGAAGGAAAGAAGCTTTGCAGTGAATCCTCAGCAGCAGGAAGCACATTCCACAGGTTCTGGAGGCCTGGACCTCTTTGGCTGTGCAAAGCCAGCAACAGGAAGGAGAAGAGGGGCTTGGAGACATCTTGTGGAGTGGACATGAGCAGAGGAGGTTGGTGAGGTTTGGAGCTCTTCAGCCATTCTATCACCATTCATCAGATTCTTTCCAAAATCGAAGGCCTTGAGGTCCCCTCTCCCAACTGCTCCCACGAGTAGAGCAAAAAGAGGAAGAGAGAGAGGATTAACTAACCAATTTAGCTGACTGGGCTGGGGTTGTGGTTCAGAGGAAAAGCRTTTGCTTAGCATGTGTGAGTCACTGGGTTCGATTCTCAGCACCACATGAAGATAAAATAAAGGTATTATGTCCACCTACAGCTAAAAAATGAACACTAAAAAAAAAAAAAGTGTGCTGAGGTTGTGGCTCAGCAATAGAGCACTCACCTCGAACATGAGGGGCCCTGGGTTCGATCCTCAGCACCACATAAAAATAAATAAATAAAATAAAGGTATGTGTCCAACTACAACCAAAAAGTAAATATTAAAAAAAAAGCACCCCCTGTTCCTGTGGATGGAAGAATCACAGTCTTTGATACAGGAGTCCCCTATGTTTCTCTTTTGCTAGCAAAGCAAGAAACCTTAAAAAAAATTAGCTGACTGACCAAAAAGTTATGGTTCCTTTTAGGTGTCCATAAAAATAATAAACAGAAAAGAGGAATAAAAATAAATAATAATAATGGAAGATTACCACAGTGACATGTCACACCAACTTATAAGGTGGTCAATCAGATGTGAAAGCACACACCTATAATCCGAGCTACTCAGGAGGCTGAGGCAGGAGAATCACAAGTTCAAGACAAGTCTCAGTAACTCGGTGAGACCCTGTCTCAAAATAAAAAATAAAAAGAGTTGGGATGGGGGGGGAGGTGGCTCAGTGGGTAAGTGCCTCTGGGTTTAATCACCAGGAAGAAGGAGAAGGGAGGAGAAGAGAGAAGGAAGGTAAAGATGGGAGGAGGGAGGAGGGAGGAGGGCGGGGAGAGGAGGAGGAGAAGGAAGAGAAGAAGAGTCACCACATGTGGAGGAGCACACCTGTAATCCCAGCTACTTGAGAGTCTGAGGCAAAAGAAGTGCAAGTTTGAGGCCAGCCTGGGCAACTTAGTGAGACCTGGTCTCAAAAAATAAAAAGGGATGGAGATGTAGCTCAGTGGTAGAGCACCCTCAGGTTCAATTCCAAGTACTGCCCCCCCAAAAAAAAATTAAAAAAGAGCTGAGGAAAACCTCTCCCTACATCAATGAGAATCTTTCCAACCTCAACCAGACTGTAAGTTTCCTGAGTTAGTATAGAGTAAGACTCAATAAGACACTCACAGGGCCATCAGCCTTGTAAAGCCACTGTCCTGTCTCTCCAGCTGACACATTTTTCTCCACTCCATGTCAGGCTCACCACCTGACTCTGGTCCAAAGAGCAGCTGGTTTCCAGGTCATTCTGCTACTGAAAAGCACGTCCTTTCATGTTTCTACATAGCCTGTCAGCTGCCACCTGACAGGAGGCAAACTGACTTGCTGGCCCATCTGTTATGGGGGATCCCCAGGCCCCRTGGGAGAAGGAGAGCTCGAGGTGGTTTCCAGGGCTACTGCTCTGTGATGGGATCTTTCATCGTCCAGATCCCAGAGTGCATTCTGCACAACTTGTCCTGAAGAGGAGCGGGCTGCTTGCTTCCTTTCTTCTGTGCCATTGTCTTACTCGGAGGCTGGGGCAGGAAGCACAGCCTAGAGAGGAAGAGATGGCTTCTCTGCATAATTCCAGGATCTGTGCTCATGTGCAAATGACAATGCTCTGTGTGTGTGTCCAACAGGGCATCCATGAAGCGACGGGCAGAGGCTGGGCCAGGCAACAAATCCATTCTCACACTCAACACTACAACTGGCCTCCTAATCTCAGGACTGCCCACAGGGACTGAGACTCCATCTCTGGGCTCCTAGGTAGAATTTTCAAGCCAAAGCCTGGCACATACAATAACATCTGAATGCACCTCCGGAAGGTGTGAACGTGATTCTGCCACTCATTCCTTTTGTGACCCCAGGCTAGTCTACTTCTCTGTTTTCTCACCTATGACATGAGGATGGTGGCCATTGCCCTGTGATTGATTGATCCTAAGTAGGTGCCCAATAGATGCTCTGGATCTTCACTGGCCACTTGGAGAGAAGATTCCAAATCAGCCCAGGGTCACAGGCCACACACTGCCCCTCTGATGTGTGCCCAGGGGCCCTCATGAAGACCACAGGTTCCTGTGTGTGCTCCTTACTCTGAATATTTATAATCCACAGTGCTCCTGTTACTTCCCTCTTCATCTACTCCCTGCTCCAAAATCCCTCTGGAATCAAACACCAAGGAAAGGCTCAGGCGGTTCTGTGATCTGGGGTCTATCAGCACACAAGCACTCTCCTCATTCTTAGACAGGGATCTACGCCAACCTTTCTGGGATTCTGCATCTTGGACAAAGTCCAGGATAAAATGCAAAACCGAGGCAGGGGACTGCCACAAATCCTCCCCTCTCCTTCTGTCCTTCCTCTCTCTGTAAGATCCCTGCTGCCCACTCAGCAGGCACCCAGGGTTAGTGGGCTGACATCCCCCCAAACTCATTTGTTCCACCTGGGGATTCCTGGCTATTGGGCTATTATCAGCAGGGGCCCCTAACAAGACGATTAAGGCTAATGACAAAGAGCCTAATTAACTGGATAAAACTGGTGCTGGAACAGTATCCAGAGGAAAAATGCTCTGAGCTTCGGTTGCTGGGAAACAGGCTCTGGACTGTGGCTAATTTAGGGGCCATCTACAGTGAACCCAGGCAATTAAAAAGAGACATGGAGGGGGAGAGAAAGTTTGAACACAGTATCTTTTAGAGGGCCTTTCTGTCTTCCCTCCAGGATTTTAAAAACTTTTTTGATGCTGTTATTGTAGTTACACCAGAAAGACTGGTTCGTCATAGTAAAAGAGGATTGTTTCATAYCTGACTTCCCCTCTCTATAGGGTTTTCATAGTGGGTGAAAGGCAGATAATTTTTTTTAGGGTACAGGATGAAGCAAGCTGCTACCAAAGTTCCCCCTGAGGACAAAAGGGAGGGAGGCCCCAATGTGAATCCATATTTTGAACTTGTCCACTAAACATTTTCTTCACAAGTGCTATGTCAGGCAAGGCAAGAGGACAAGTGTTAATTCCATTCCTGCCTTGAGGGGACTGTGTCTCTATGCAGCTAGAGACATGGGCAAAGAATGCCTGAAAAATGAAACCACAGTTGTGTTTCTTACAAAGTATTCTCTTGAGAATGTAATTCTGTCTCCTCATCAAACTGGGGCAGCTTCCAAGGCAGAGAACAGGCCTCCCCCAAGGAATGGGTGTTTCCTTTAGGTTTCCCTCATCTCTAGGGCTCAGGGCAGGGTTTTAGGACTCAGTAGGTGCCCCGGCTGTGGTGGAAGCTGATAGTCTCTATGACCCTGGCCAAGATGCCAGGGCCAGCTGTCAAGCCCCCTCCACTTTGTGCCCATCTGCAGAATGACCAGTTCAGTGGAGAAACCAACGATGCTGCAAGCCAATTAATCACAATCAGGCACCTCCCTGTTTTGGTTTCCCCACACTTAGACCTTCCCCACCCAGTGGCAACTGGGAATCACTGGAAGCTACACATGGGTGGACAGTGTGGGGGGCAATACCAAGAGAGGGACAGTGAGCTGGACCATGTGTCCTTGAGTGAACTGAGTGCTGGGAGCCACTGCTGCAGTACCTTCCTCTGAGAATCTTGTACAGGACTCAGCTGACCAYGGTAGTAAGCAGCCCACCCCAACTGGTTGGTCCTTCATCCCCTGGCATGTCTCTTCTGGGTCCCAGCATTGATCACTTTTTCCTTTTCTTACTGAATTGCTTGGGATGGAGTGGGAAAGGGAAGGTAATGAGCAAACCAGGAAGTGATCTTCACAGGTCTGTCTTTCTCCCCCAAACTTACAGCCTCTCTCCCTGAGCTCAGCCTTGCTGCCTCCCCTCCAGGGCACAGATAGGCCCTGGAGAGCTGACCTCTTTCTCTCGGTAACTGGAAGCCTAACATACAATCCCAGGATCAGGAGTTGTGGTGGGTGATACTGGCCACAGCTGCAGAGCTGGAAGCTAAAGGAGCTCTAAAAGACAGTGTTCTGGTGAGGCTGGATTTGAGCCAACTGTCCTACTGGGGAGCAAGTGGATGGACCTCAACAGAAGAGCCAAGACAGTGTGGGGCCATGAGGGGTGGGATTCACCGCCACCAAGGAACCAAACAAGGGGGGGTCAGGAGTGGAGGGAAGGAGGTGGGATATGGGATGGGGTGGACTCTGCCACCTCCTCTACTGCTAAGGGCATGGAGTTTGGTCAGACTTTAGGGAGCAGTGACCTCTGCCCTTTCTGTTCAAAATTCTAGAATATTCTCTGGGGCCTGGTCTGCAGTCACTTCCTGGAGAAAGCAAGTGACTAGCAGATATAGGTGAGCACTCTTTTCCTTGGAGATGCTGACCCTTCACAYCTCAGCTCCACCTCCTCAGCTCCACCTCTCATTACCTCTCACTCTCAAATGAGTCCAGAAAGCAAGAGTCTTTCCCTGTCTGCCTGGGGAGGAAGGGGAGGGCAGATGGGTAAGAGATTAGTTATGGGCCTCCAACCCCAAATGATCAATTTATTTTAGCAGAGTTTTGGACCTTCTGGTTTCACATTCTTGGTAATGTCTTGGTGCTTTTAACTTATTTTGCTTGGGACTACATGGGGGTTCTAGCCCATAGTTTTCCAGTCTTTTTCATGTCATGACATGCATAAAAATAATATTTATTTGACACACTGGGAAGGACTGGAGGGGAATTGTGTCATATGAAGTTGTTTATAACTGGACATGACTAACCCTGAGGCTCTGGCCACTCCAGCCACACTGAGGCAGAGGGAGGCAGCATCTCAAAGCCCACAGTTGGGAAGCTCCTTTTAGCCAGTCCACTATGCAGAGAAGCTTGGGACAGGCTCCAGGAGGCTGGACAGCCTGTCAGGGCTTAATGGGCAGCAGATGATGGCGGAAATTAAGAGAAGATGGGACTGTTTCCATGGCAGATTAAAGAGAACTCCCACATCTTTCAACCCACTCTTGGGACAGACAGGAAATGATGGAGATGATATTAAGAAATTGAATACTTAGGACACTGGTTCAAAGATAGATTTCTTTTCTTTTTGGTGGTACTGGCAATTAAGCCCAGGAGTGCTCACCACTAAGCTACATCCCCAGACATTTTTCTTTCATTTTTAGACAGTCTCATTAAGTTACCCATGCTGGACTTGGATTTGCCCTCCTCCTGCCTCAGCCTCCCCAGTAGCTGGGATTATAGGCRTGTGACACCACACCTGCTTAATGAAGAAGCCTGGCCTGGGCTTGCTGTAAATATTGAGGACTTCAAGACTTTCCACCTAGTGACAACAGGCAGAAAGCCAACTCATGAGTAAGGCAAATGGTGGACACTTCAGTATCTGTAAAGAAGCCTTTACTTGCCAGACTTGTAATCCCAGTGGCTTGGGAGGCCAAGGCAGGAGGATCATGAGTTCAGAGTCAGCCTCAGCAAGACCCTGTCTCTAAATAAAGTATAAAAAAGGAAAGGGGATGTGGTTCAGTGGTTAAGTAACCCTGAGTTCAAAAAAAAAAAAAAAGAAGAAGCCCTCACCTTAGGCCACATCTGGTCACCTGTACCAAGGACTGGAAAGAGTATTACTAGGTCTGAATGCCCAGATGTTCAGCATCTACCTGGGCAGGTTCTGCTCAAGGCACCAAGGAAACCCTGAAATGACTAAAAATCAAGGGGCACTTGAGATTCAGCCCCTCTGAAATATAGAGAAACAGGGCAGAATTGTGAAGACCTCAGAATGAACAGGCTTACCAGAGTTAATGTCCATAAAGATGTTGACCTCAGCTTTCTTTGTCACCTCTCAGATTCCCCAACTAGTTTCCCTGTCTCTGTATGCTTCACACTCCATTCAAATCTCAAAGGCATCTTCTTCCCTCTTACTGGTAATGCTACCATTAATCTACACACTCCCCAAACCCTGTGTGTATGACGTCTTTCTCCTGTCATTAGAGTGACCCATTGTTTAAGAACTGCTTCCTCTAAGCTGCACAGCAGGACTCTGTCAATGTCTGTCACAGCCACTGTTGTATCTTAGTGCTCAGCACAATCCTTTGTACACAGTAAATTTTCAATAAGTAACAGATGAATAAATGAATAACAGCAGCTAAAAAGAATGTGCCACACCTGGGGCTACAAATACTACCTCTTACCTTTCCAACAACTCTACGAGGATAGAACATGAATCCCATTTTACAGTGGAAAAAAATTTAAGGTTAGTGGTCGAGYGCTTGCCTAGCATGTTCAAGGCCCTGGGTTCAATCCTCAGCATTGCAAAAAATAAGGCTGCAGAAGGCCAAGGGACTTGGTCAAGGGTGTAGCCAAGGTCTGGACCTACCGCTACTGGTTCCAAATCCCTGGGGGCTGCTGATGGGYACCAGCTCTGTATTGTACCCTCTGTGGCTCTATCCTCAGCAGTTCACGGGCCTCACTTCCACTTGTGCAAGCACATTCTACTATCACACAGGTCTTGGCACACCCATGAGAAGCAGGAGTGCCTACCTAGACAAAGGCCTCACAGTGCTGGGCCAACGACACAAACATACCCATCTGCTGGGTCCCAGGAGGCTTGAGATCACAAATGGTGATTAGGACAGAACCAGTGTTATTTKTTATTAAAAATTATGAAAAAGCGACACAGCCAAACATGCAAGCAGCCTGCTTTCAGGAATCAATGGGGCACAGAGCTCCTGGCAACCTACCGGCATAGTGGTAATTTGCTAAAGGATGACATTTTAACCTGACTGGCTTCTGCAGCAGCAGCATTTCCAGAGCAGCCTGTGGATCCAGAGGAGAGAAAAGGCAAGAGTCAGTGACAGGTCTGTGTATCCTACGGAGATCATCTTCCCAAAGGGGAAAGCGGTTAGCCCTGCTGAGCCCAGGGACGGAGGCACTAGAAAGAAGAGAGAGACTACTCTAATTGGGGCTTGCTTTCTGTTCAGCCCCCAACAAGACTCCTCATTCTGACACCCTCCCCAGCCCATGCTGGCAGCCAGCTGGACATGTCACACTCAGGCAGCGACTGAGACTTCACTCCTTCCTAGGTGAGGGCCCACCAGCCTCAGAGAGACSGGGGTTGTCTCTGGGAAGGGCTTCAAAGGAATGAGTGGGAGATTTGTAATTGTATTACACAAAAATCATGTCTCATTACAACTGAACGTAAGCAGCTGTATTAGGAACAACTACAAGTAGTCCCCCTAGAAAGCCTCACTAAGTAAATTAAACCTTTTAGATCTGCCTCAATGGGTTTTAAAAACAACACTGCAGGAAGTATTTTTTTTTAAAGTGCAGTGGCGCACACCTGTAATCCCAGTTACTCAGGAGGCTGAGGCAGGAGTATCACAAGTTTGAGGTCAGTGTAGACAACTTAGCGAGAACTTGCCTCAAAATAAAAATTTAAAAAGGGTTGGGGGTGTATCTCAGTGGTAGAGCACTTGCTTAGCATGTGTGAGGCCCTGCGTTTAATCCCTGGTACCACAAAAACCTACCACCACCACCACCACCACCACAATAAAACACTGCAGGCAGAGTTGTGTATGGAGCAAAGCCTGGAATCTTGATATTCCAAGTGTGACCCACAGATCATCAGTGCCAGCATCACCTGGGAGCTGTTTAGATGCAGAACCTTGGGTCCCACCTCACACCCGCTGGATCAGAATAAGCATTTTAACAAGATTCCTCAGATATTCTTGTGCACATTAAAACTTTGAGGAGTGCTACTCTGCAACCCTAACCTCAAAGGGTGAAGAAGAGTTCTCCAACTCCTCCTAAGTGTAGTCTTATTCTACACAAGTACTTGAAGGGTATCATGGCATTGAGACATTAGTTTACTGTTACATTTTCATAAAATCTAAAAGCAGGAAGCTGGATCCAGTATGAGGAAGAACCATGTATTTATACAGAGAGGAAATGAGGTTACTGATGGAGTGATCTAGCCAGAAGGCAATAAGGGGACACCTGTAAAACTGTGTTAAAGATGGAAGAATGGAACCAACTGGTGAACTGTACACTTTTCATTGGGTTAGAGGTAAAAAGATTCTGTAAACACCAAACTTTGCTGATTTTCATAGCAAGGAGGACCATCTGCAAGTGTGACAGGCTACTTTGGGCAAACTCTTGTTTCAATAATGAGAATAACTTGTWCACAAGACAGTAATAGTTTTTCTGATATGAAATACAAGACAGATAAAAAGAAATTCTAATTTCCTAAGACAGATGTGCTCACAATTATTGCTTAAGTACAGATGTGTAGAAAAGAAGTCCAACTGGAGTTTTTTTTCTACAGGCTTTTAAATCCTGACTTCTCACTGAGATAAGCAACACAGAGGCATGTGGACTGGCCATCATCTTACAAACTGTTTGTATGGCTCATGGGGCAGTACAGATACTTGGGGAAATACTATTCAGAATTCTAATTGTGACGCCTCCTTCTCATGGTTCCTTACCATCACATCACCTTTGGCCTCGAAGAGAGAGTGCAAAGCAAATTCAGAATTGGTCCCTCCACCTGGCAATGCACTTGAACAGCACAAATTCAGAAGATTCTCCACTGTTGGGAATAAAGAGAACCAGTGCATCAGAGAAAGCTCAGCATTATGGAAAAACACATCATCCTGGAGCCGGAGGTTCCAATGAGAGCAGCAAGCTTCACCCACCCAGCTTCTCCCATATGCCAATACCTCGCTGCTGGAGGTCCTGGTTTTCCAGCTCTGGCCAGGGCTTCCATACCAGTGTGGCCTTATGTGTGTCCTGGGCCAGGGCAGAGACATCCTGGAGTTCTGGGATCTCTGCTTGGAATCTTAAGCCAATGTTGATGCGTCTTTAGTAACAAAAAGAAAAACAACAGTGTGGTCTTGAATTTGATGGCCTAAGCCAAGGGCAACTGTCAGGAACTTGAAAAAGAAGGAAACCAGTTCCTTCTGCAAGAAGAACGCAGGGGCATTTCCTCACAGTGTGACCCTAAGATTCCAGGCATGGCTTCTTCACTGAGATAARGAACAGCTTTAAGATTGGGGAGAATTGTTAGGGGGAGCGAGGGAGCAGGCTGGAGCCTTTCTAGTGCTCTGTAACTGGAGTGGAAAGGGGGCTAATTCAAAGAAAACAGCTGCCCAGAGCATAGCTRATGGTACCATTTCATCAGGAAAGACAGATGAATTTAAGGTTTGTATATAATTTTTTATCCCTTTCAGATCACTTTTACATAYATTATTCTCTTAGCCTAACAGAGATCTGTGATGTACACAAGACACTAATAGTTATTTAATAAGAGTCAACCCAAGTCTAGAAAGGTTAACTTGATACAGATAAAAACCAAAATGGGCCAGAACTGGAGTTTTCTGATTTCTGACTCAGTATACTCCACTACTTAGTGCCTTTTCTGTGATTATCCATTGAAAGAACTTTTCCCTTCCCTAATAYAACAGTGCCTCCTTATCTCCAGTTTTGTGTCCTGYGGTTTCAGTTACCCATGGTCAACTGAGGTCTGAAAATATTAAGTGGAAAAATTCCAGAAATAAGCAATTTATAAGTTTTAAATTTTATGTCATTCTGAGTAATGTGATGAAATCTATCCCCCCCAGGATGTGAATCATCCCTTTGTCCAGAGTATCTACTCTGTATACACCACTCCCCTGTTCATCACTTAGTAGCCATCTAAGATATCGGCTAGAGTACTGAGGCATTGCAGTATTTGTATATAGGGTCTGGTACTATTGGAGGTTTCAGGCATCCACTGGAGGTCTTGGAACATATCTTCCATGGATAAGCAGGGACTACTGTACCTCCTACTGCCCATTCAAGTACTCAACAAGCTCATTTGGAAGCGTGGCCAAGAATCTGACAGAGGAATTGGGAAAGCAGGAGCATTCAGGAGTCTCTTAAGAAGGCTGGACATCTAGAATGCCTCAATGTCACTGGGGATGTGAAAGCATGGTGGTCTACCTAGATTAGCTTATGAAGCCAGAGACAGGGATGCTAAGTTCTCTGAATCCAGTGCTTTACTCTTTCACTATGCATTTAGGCTTTGGCAAAGATCTTGAAATATTGGCAACTACAGGGAAATAAGAGTACTGAAGAAATACCCAAGTCCTACATTTCCACAACTTCTCTATCATTGGCCTCTCTGACTTAAAGGTACTGATTACTCTTCTCAAAGCCCCTGATCCCTTTCTTCAGCTGAGACTTCTGTCCTAAAAAATAATTGGCTTTTTCTTACGGTTCAACATCCACGGTCTGCTCTCCAGGCCCTGGGGTGATCGTCATGTTGCTGCCATCAATGCTATCTGAAACAAACAACAACAACAACAAAACCTGAGGTTACTGGCCAACAGGGAAGCAAGGCTGAAAAAACTSAAGCAAATGAGCTGTTAGCCTACCAGTCATAGCAGGCCTACTCCTCCACCAACCCATGTCCTTCACCAGAGAGTTGGATGCAATGTGGTTCTAGTGGCTCAAGGCCAGCCATTTCTCACACAGGTTGAGAAACTTGTCCCACACTGGCCTGTTAAGCTATGGTGTGGTTCCTATGCAAGTATTCTTGCTCTAGAAAGAGATCTTGACCACAGGCCTCTCATGTTTTGCTTTGGTAAAGACTTAGTCTTGCTATGTAGCCCAGTAGCTCAAAAGTAGCCTGGAACTCAAAAAGATTCAAAGTGATCTTCTGCCTCAGCCTCCTGAGGAGCTGGGACTACAGGCTGGCACCATGACACCCAATTTTTCACGCTTGATCTTTATAARGCCCGCTAAAATGTCAAGGCCTGGTCTTGCATATCATACCTAATCGCTACTAAATGTTTATTCTATGTCTTCTACCATCATCCAAGGCAGTCTGAGCATGTGCACCTAAAACTATTTCCTCATCCCAAAGAGATGGTAGGGATCACATCACTTTTTTCTCTCAATGAGACTGTGATTCCCTTGAGGATGAGGGCTGTATCTAAGAGTTTCTGAGCACCCCAGCACCGTCTCTGGTACATATAACAGATATTCCACAGAAATCGGTGGGGTCAATCATAGACAGCTGAAGAGCCTGAGACCCCCCCCAACCCCGCCCCCGGGCCGGACAGCACCCAGCACAGACAGGGATGGGGCTGACAGGCGACTCACTGGAACGGCACAGCAGCACCCTTGGGGTGGGCGTGAGGGGCGTGAGGGGCAGCTGCGGGTGGGCGCCAGGGCCGTGCCCCGCGATGAGGACGTTGCTGAAGAGCCCCGAGCCCTGGCGCACCGGGCTCAGCATGGGCGGGGGCGTGTAGGGGGGCAGCTCGTGGGTGGGGTCCAGCAGCAGATGGTCCCCGAGGACGCGCGGGGAGCGCAGCTGGCTCTGGTACAGGGTGGCGCCGGAGTAGGAGGTGGGGTTCGGGGTGTAGGAGGGCGGAGGMGGAATGAAGAGGGGCTCGGGCCGGTGCCGGAACTTCTTCTTCTCCTGCACGGTCTTGAGGGGCTCCTCAGCCTTGGCCACGGCGGGCTGGTGTTTCCGGGGGATTTCCTACAGACGGGACAACGACCTGATTCAAACAGGCTGCCCCGCCACAGGCCAGCCCCACGGGTGCGGGGAAGGGGTCTCTATGGGGACGGACTCCCTTCCGCTTGTCCCCCTCCCGCTCCCACCACATCCGCTTCGGCCAAGGCGGGTTCTGGTGGCTGGGCCAGGAAGAAATCGGGGGTCTGGGAAGCCGCCCCTGATGTCCGGAGCGAGCCGGGGGTGACGGGAAGGGTGGGTGGGCGAAAGAAATCAATTCAGATTCTCTTGGCTTCTCACTACATTCCCATCTGCTTGAGTGGAATCCAGCTGAGTGGGCTCCTCGGGGACAGAGAGCCCAAGTTCTGAGAAGGGGGCAGAACCATCCGCTCAGGGCAGCAGGGCAGAGGGGCGCAGCCTGGCCCGGCTCCCAGGGCCGGCGACCCTCCCTGGGCTCTGCTGTGATCCTGAAGGCCCAGGCCCGCTGCGACCCCGAAGGCCCTGTTCTGGGGRTCTGCTCAATCTCCCCCCTGCCCACCCCTCACTGCTGCGCTGCACTGCAGCTCACTTGCAGCAAGCCCTCCTCCTGGGCCGGCTTCCTGTCAGCAGAGTTAGTTTATTTTATGGCAACGGAACCAAGCTTAGTCTGGAAGGAAGATCTGCCACATGGATACATATATACTCAATAAGTAAACACATGCACGTCAATAGAGAAGCAGGGCATGCCAAAGCCAAACAGAAACAGACTTGGGTTGTGTGCCAGCATCAGCCCTGAAAGGTCAAGGGCTGATGTGGGTGGGGGAGGCGGCAGGGATACCTGTGGAAAGGTTCTGAGCAGTCTGAGGTACCCTCCTGAGCACTGCAAGTCAGGGGCCAGTCACAGCTGCAGTTCCCAGCAACCCCTGTGCCCAGGGTGGCGCCTGATAGGAGCAACAGCAGGGGGTGATGGGAATGGCTGGTCATGGTCATGTGACTGGCTGCCTCCAGACCATGTGACTTGCCCCACTGGGCTCCTTATCTCTGAGCTCCTCCTGCTTGCAACAGGCTCTCCCTCAGCATCCTTGTCTTCCAAGGTGCCTTGCCAACTTCTAAGACTGGAGTCTAGGAAGGCAGAGAGCTGGGGAAAGAAGGCAGCAGAGGGTCTCAGGCTCCAGGCTTCAGTGTGGAGGTTCCTAAGTCCTGCCTCAGCCACAGGGGGCTCTCAGGCCACAGCTCCATAGCCCACCTCTTCTCCCCACCAGAGGGCTCCTCACCGCCTGAGTCTGCGGGGGAGAGGCTGAAATGAAGAGAGGTTGAGGTAGAGAAAGGAGGCTGAGGTGGACAGAGAAGGCTGAAGTGGAAAGAGAAAACTGAGGTGGAGAGGAGGCTGAGGTACAGAGAGGAGGCTGAGGTAGAGAGAGGCAGCTATAGAGAATGGAGGAAGGAGGCTCAACAACTCCCTGCTCAATGCCAACTGAGGAGCAATCCTGAAACTTTAGCCCTGTTTCTGGGTGACTGATGAGGTCATGTAAGTACACGTGGACCTCACAGTGATCTCAGCTCTGCCCTGGAATCTAGACTTTAGACCACAGGGCCTGAGGTCCCTTTTGGCTCTCTCCTCCAGCCTCCTGTCCTGCTATTCCACCTCTATTCTAGGATTTTCTCATCCTCCAGGCAAGGCTCTGAGCCACTTGGACCAGAGAAGCTACTCAGAATGTCACACTTGGCTGTCATGTGACAGGAAGTATTTGCAATGTTCCACCCCACTAAGCTATCTGGATTCTGGAAGTGCGGACAAGCACCAAGAGCTTTTAAAACCTTCTGGCTACAACATCATGTACAACCACAAAAACTGTACTCCATGTAGGTATGATATGTCAAAATACATTCTATGGTCCTGTATAACTAGAAAGAACAAATAATAAAATAAAAGAGTTTCTGGCTACAGAGAACTGGGAGAACTATTGATGAGTCCAACCTTCTCTAGTTCAAGGGATTAAATCAAGACTCTCAGAGGGTAAGGGGCTCAACTGCCCTTGTCCTATTTGGTGAGACATAGAGCTCAGAATTCAAGGTTCCTCCAAGACATTTTAATTTCTTTACATCGCGTGCCAGGATCTTGCTCACATTCATTCAATTCCACCCCCATGTTTCCACTTCAGCCTATCTCTCGACTTAGAAAGTCTCTTACCCTGCAATTAAGCCAACTTCATTCCTCCCTTCAAAGCCTGCTCAGAACTTCCCTACAATGATCTCCTGTGCAAACTCACACCAAACTCCCTTTTCTGTCCCTAGTGCCTCATTACTTCAGGCCACCTGGTGTACAAACACACCTTGATTTATGATGGGGCTATGTTTCCATAAACCCATTGTAAGTATTTTAAGTGGAAATGCATTGAACACCCCTAACCTACTGAGCATCCTACCTTAGGATCATAGCGCACTATGGAGTCTTAGTTATTTCCCCTAGAGATGGCAGGGCTGACTGGGCACTGTGGCTTGATGCCACTGCCCAGCATTGTGAGTGAGATCTGAACTGCATATGGCTAGCCCAGAAGATCAATATTCAAAATTCAAAGTATGGTTTCTACTGAATGCACTTTTGTACCACTGTAAAGTTGAAAACTTGTAAGGGGACTGTCTGCATTGCCATCCATCTCTTCAGCCACCATCTTGAATGAATGAGTCTTGGTTGTGTTGCCTGGACTGTGACTACTGTGTGACTAGGAACCCTTGACTGAGATTTCTCCAAGATTACATGCAGTGCATTTAAATCAGGAACTTCCCTGAGCAGAGAGGTGGCTTGGATATGCCATTTCATCTCTGCCTGTTGCTGACGCCCTCCTGTCATCTTCTGAGAATCTTCATCTCTGGAGGTTCTCTATCGGCCTTTCTTCTGAGGCCTTGGTATCACACAGAACCAAACTGTCTCTTTCTGGACTTTCCTAGTTCCCTTAATTGTGCATGCACTCCAATCCTATTCTAGCTCAGCTCTACTCTCATTGCCTCCTGGATTCTCAGCAACCATCTATTCTCTAAGGAGAAACAGGACCCAACACACTACTCTGTGGGAAGGGACAAGTGTGATACAGTCGGTCTCCCCAGGAGGGAGAGAGAGAAAGAGAGGAATTTGAGGAAGGGAAGGAGAACGTTAACAGTTCAGTGAGAAACACAAATCACTTTGCTTTCCTGAGATTAGGGGTAGGTGGCTCTCAGTAGAACTACTTTGGGAACTTGAACAAATTGGGTTCTCCAGGGTATTTAAGCAGATATGATGTTGAAAATATTAAGCATGTGTTAAGGCTGATCATCAGAATAGATGCCAGGGCTACAGCCTTGAGGCCCTGCAGTTCCAGGGGTTACCTCTTTGGTGGCTGGATTTGGGGAGGTCTAGTGGTCCTGGGAAATAGTCAGGGCCCTGGGCAACAGCTGATATTACCTGGATAAATTATCCCATATTTTAATAACTGGCATGGTTGTATTGGTGACTTCCAACCAAATTATCCTCTGTTTAAACCTGGGAACACCTTGAGGTGTCTAATGCAGCCCATCAACCTGGAAGAGCAACAGGTATTTAAAGGGCAGTGGGCAGGTGGCCAGGGGGGCTCAGCCCCAAGAGGAGGTCAGGTCAGTGACTCTGGAAGAGCTGTCCCCATCTCCAAGAAAGCAAAGGGATGTCCCCACTCCAGGCAGGTGGGGCAGAGCAGCAACTCACAGCAGGCGCGTGGGGGGCAGCCCCCTGGGGGGAGTGAGGGGGAGAGAGGGTCATCCTCACGAGCACAGGCATCTCGTCGTCCGACACCGAGCTGGCTGGCTTGTCTCTGGCGGAGGGGACGGCAACGACGCTGTTGGTGAACCCCTGAGAGCTGGGCTTGGGCGGGAGAAGCTTGACAGGGACAGACACGGGCATGACCATAGGCGTGAGGCTTTCTGCCTCGGGAGGGAGCTGCGGTGGCGGTGGAGGCGGAGGCGGCAGTGGCGGCTGGGGCGGAGGCGGCTGGGCCTTCTCTCCTTCCTCCTACACAGACAATAAAGGCTTTGATCCTGGGCTGAGAGCAGCTCTCCCAAAGGGGATGATGCACTTGCTTTTCCCAAAAGATTCCAGGACATCAGGCGTGGGTGACAGGGAACCACTGCTGCCAGTGGTTTCCTTCCTACAAGCCTGGGTCCCTAGGTTTAGTAATGGCAGTTGAGGTAGATAAGGCCATGCATTCTGTTTTCTACATTTAAAACATCTTGACCATAGATCACTTGTATGTTAAAATATTTTGAAAAATTTTGTGGTTGTCATTGCTTTTAAGGACAATGACACTGACTTGTAATCAGTAAAAACAAAATACGTGATCTTCTGTAGGAGTGTTTAATTCCATGGGCTTCAGTTTTCTTATGTCAGGCTGAAATTGGCAWCCTATCCTATATTTTATTTGGGTTAAGAAATCACACTGAAAATGCAAAACCTGTTATTTTTTAAAAAGTGAAGTTCTTTTATCTGGCCTGGCCAGGAGATGAACAGATCTGGGTAATCCACATTTTGATTAACACAGARATAATCTCTTAGACTTTAAGATCAAGAAATTCTGAGAAAATTCTTTGAATTTTAATTAACTTAATTAATTCATGGACAGTATACTACCTAGATATTCTATGTGGATTATCCAGAGGGTGTTTAAGGCTCTTTGGATACTAGAACCAAACACCTTTGCACTGGCAAACACAAAATTCTGGCTGAGTGCCTGATGGTTACATCCTCTTTCCTTGGCCACTGACCACTGATCTTGGAGGCCCTAATGGCCGTCGATTTGGGTCTTTCAAGTAGCAAAAATTAAAAATAAGGTGGCATTTACATGTGTGGGTCTTTTTTTTTTCCTGTCTTCTCTGGGAAGTAGAGAGGCCCCTATTTGACCCTTCTTCATAAGGCCAGGGAAGTAGGGCTGTTGACCTGGCTGGTTCCCAGCATCCAAGCTGAAGTCTTAATCTGGTTCGGGGAGAACTATGCCTCCCCARGTGCCCACATAGGGCTCCCATCCCAATTTCTCACACAGTTTTTCTGACGGCGGCAAAGCAAAGCAAGCAGCACATGGTTTGAGAAGGACCAGGGACTAGGTCCTGCTAACCTGTTTGAGGCTGGGGGACGCCCTCATTCCACCGTGGGACCGCATGTGGCCATTCAGGGCGGGCAGGCTCTTGAACTCTTTCAGGCAGATGGAGCACGTCAGCTTGCTCTTGGCATCAAATTGTTCCCCAAACACTCCTTTGGGTTGGCCACTACTCAAGGGGTAGGGCCAAATGGAGAGGACACACACACATTGAGGAAGGAGAAACAGCAGTTTATCACAAGACCTCTCACCCACAGCATACCCATTTTATTCATCCAATGCTCCCTTGTCTGATGCCCAGAACCCTTCAGAGAACCAAGCCCAACTTGATGAAAAACTGAGGCTCAGAGTGGGAAAGGGCTTTCTTAAAAGCATATGAGAGTTGACCAACACATCCTCCTTATCCCAGGCCTTCAGGAACTGGGGTTCTCCCACCAAGGGTTTACTGCCCTTCCAGAGTCAGCTTGAGCACATCTCCTCTGAATGTCTTCTCTGAGAGACACTTAAGTTCCTTGGGGTAAGTCCCCTGGGGTAGTCTGTACCGCACGTTTCAGCAGTCTACCAGGATCTGGCTTCGTCTTTAATTTTTCACCATGGCTATGAGAGGAGGGAGCCAGGCTATGGTATTACCACTGCATTCTCAAAGCCCAGCTCTGTGCCTGGCACACAGCAGGCATTCAATAAATCCTAACTGATTAAATGGATAGTGGACAGAATAAGGGCTTTGGAGTTATTCCCAACATTGCTACTTACTTAATGTATACCCTTAAGCTCTGAGACTCAGTTTTCTCATTTCTAAAATGAAAACAGTATCAGCTAAATGGTTTTTGAATGCTTGCTATTTTGGAGGGGGGGTGGTTGTTGGGGATTGAACCTAGGGCCTTACATACGCAAGGCAAATGCGTTACCACGGAGGGCTTCCTACTGACAAGGCACATGATGACCACTGTGTTATTTCACTATACACAATACACGGTGCCAAGCACACAATCACTGCTCAAACACAACTGCTATTATTATTCCTATGCTTCTTTGAAAAATTGACTCTGAATTTAAAAATTAATCATGAGAAACAACCCAGTAAAACTCCCAGTCTCCGAAAATACCACCAAGCCTCCATTCATCCTACCTTGACTCAGGGGACCCCGGCTGGGCTCTCCCATCAGGTAGGTGCATCTAATTGTGAGCCAAGCAGGACACCGAAAGAAAAGAAGAAAGAGAAAAAAAATTGTGTTTCTGAAGTGGGGTTTTTTGACCCATGTGAACASTAGGGCCTAGCCTTCCAGAGCTTTCCCACTCCCAATGACCCTGCTCATGCCCACTTAAGCCTTCACTCTTCTGCACCTCATTTCCTTCACTTATATGCCCCTGACTAGGGACCACTGCCCTCTTCCTGGAGCAGCCACAAGCCCACTAGGATGCAAACTTCCTCCACCTTTCTCCCAGTGCATCCACTCTGTGCACAGACCAGGCACCATCCTCATGCCCACAAGGAACACAGAGGAAAGCTGGATGACTCAGCCTCAGGCCCCAAGACCACATGCAGGTTTCTTTTATAAAAGCTTTAAAAGCCCTGGCCATGGACTCTCATCCTTGTATTCACAGAGGCCCTCACAGACCCAGTTGCTTCTTGGTCTGTGTCCCTGATGAAACAAGGTCCAGAGCAAGTTCACCTGTGGCCTTCAGCTTCCCTTAAGCCCTTTCTCCACCCTACTAGTTCCAGATTGGGGTCCCCTTCTCCCAAGATCCTGTCGCACAAGTCTGTAGCACTTGGAACATGCCTAAGTACTCGGTGCACACAGTGGTCATTATCAGAACTAACCAAGAGTTAATAACTATGGCTCACAGACTCAATCTGGCCTGCAGACATGTTTTATTTGGCTAGACTATTTTTTAAAAAATTCTGAATGAGACAGGGTGTCTGCTGTCCAGTTTACTACAGTCTCCACCACTACCAATTGTCTCATACCAGGCCATTTTGCTTATTCATGTTACCATCCTAGATTCTGTGACAGCTAAGGTTCATTTCTGCAACTATATGCAGCATCCCCTTTGGGAGAGTCACAATGCACACTGGCACATTAAAGGCTCCGAGAAGCCCTACAGCATAGCAACCTGTTCTACCCTGAGAAACTCCAAATTTATCCAACAAATCCATTATTTCCCCAGCAATATCCATTAATATTCTGTAGAACTGCTGTTCTGAACTTTGAGAAATGTTGTCATAATGGTCCCAAAGGGGGATCAGTTTCATAGGGATTACCCAGAGGATACAAATTTAAGGGGGTGAGACACYCGTCCTCACTGTGTGGTCCCTGGCGTGTGACTCAAGGTCTTGATCATTACATGAATCACTTAGGATATGATACGGTATTTTGACCATCACCTTAATGAGATTATAAGCTCTATGGGCAAAGGACTGAATCAAAACTGAGCGCCCTGCACAGACAGTGTCTGGCACATGTAGGTTAATGTTTATGAAAAATATAAAGAAGAAAAAGGTTGATAGGTGGACAGAGGATTGGGCACTGCAGAGGCTCAGCCCTGGCTAGCCCTGTAGCAAACTGAGATGGGGGAGACACTTCCACTGTGAGAATACCTGGGGCCACATGGCACTGGGAGACGGCTGCTGATGCTGAGGCCCCATGTTGTTGAGGTGGATCCCACTGGGGGAGAGGAGTGGTCGGTGGGGGAGGGCACTGCTAACCCGGGTCAGGTCCGAACTTGCTGGGTCTCCCATTCCTGTATCAGGAGGCCCCAGATCCCCGTGGGAGCTCAGCATGGCCGGGGCCTGCCTGTCACTAGAATAAGTCTTCAGTTGACTGTCCTCACGCTGCTGGTGCTGGGGCAGGTGGCTTTGCTGGTAGAGGGGGTGGCTGTAGGGTTGCTGGGGTTCTTGGTAGTAGTACTGGGGCATGGAGCCCAGATGAATCAGCTGAACAGCGTGCGCCTGCTCCGGGGTGTACTGATGAGGGTCCCTGTGGTAAGAAGGGGGCTGCAGATGCACTGGTTGCTGCTGCTGTTCTTGCAAGTGTTGCATCATGGGTTGGGGCTGGTAATACTGAGGTATCTGCATTGAACTCTGCCGCTGCTGCAGTGGTAGCTGCTGTTGCGACTGCGGCTGCGGCTGAGGCTGTGGTGGGCGAGTCTGTTGCTGTTGCTGCTGCTGCTGCTGCTGCTGTTGTTGCTGCTGCTGCTGCTGCTGCTGCTGCTGCTGCTGTTGCTGCTGTATTTCTTGCACGGAGATCCGCTGCTGCCCTGCTTGCTGCTGTTGCTGCTGTGGATAATACTGGTGCTGCTGCATCTGTTGCATGTGCTGTGACAGCATCTGTGGGGTTTGCAGCGGCTGTCCTCCCTGCATTGGCATCTGAACCAGTGACTGCTGGTAGTCATAATACAGGTGCCCTTGGGACGGGTGCTGCCCGACCTGAAAGGCTGGTTTGGACAATCCCCCAGTGAAACCAGGGTGAGCCTGCTGGGCCACCTGCTGGTAGCGGGAAGGTATAGTCGGTGCTGGGGGCTCCATGGGCTTCTGAGACAGCAGCTGGCGCAGGGCACTGTCAGGGGCTCCATCCATCACTGCTGACTGGGTGTGCAGCACCTGGGCCATATTGTTGACCTGAATTCGCAGGTTTTGGTTGGCGAACACCTGGGTGAAAGAGTCCAGCTTGTGTAAGACACCACTGGTGAGCTTCTGGGTCCGGATCTCACTGGCTTGGGAGTAGGTATACTGGTAGCCATCAGCGGGCTCCACCTGGGCGGGTGCCCCCCACATCATATTTGAGTTGGCCAGGTTGCCACGTAGCTGGACATGGTTTCCAGGCCCTGCATGGCCTCCCCACCCTCCCTGCCTCGAGGTATCCATTTGGCCAAGGTTTTTGGAACCAACAGGTAGGCCCAGACTATCCCGAGTATCTTGAGGGAAGTGGGGGGAGATGGGCGAGGCCTGAGCGGCATCCATTCCACCCCCTGTGACTGTATTCCCATAGTTGTGGTTCAGCCCACTGTGGACACCAAGGGGTGGCTGTTGGTAGAAAAGGTTCTCACCACCATGGGCCACGTGGTTGGTCTTGTACAGTTGCTGATCTCCCATGGTGTCTGCCTTGGTTATGAATGTCCAGCCACAAAACCATAAAAAAAGGTAAATGAAGAAAACCCAAAAAGACGGAAACCCTGAGAAGCTGAGAGAAAGCGTCCACACTACTCCATGGCTGACATGTCTGTAAAGGAGGCTGGAGCCAGGGGTTCCTCTTGGCCTGTACCACTCATCTGCAGAGCCCGGGGCTTTACATCCTCACCCGAGCTGAGGTATGGACCAAACACCACTGTGGTGAGGAGACACTGCTCACACCTGTAAGACAAGACACAAAGAACAGGAAACAGTTTACTTAGATGTTTCATGACAAGCAATTCTCTCCAATACTACCAGTTATAAAAAAAAAAAAATATATATATATATATAAAATAAGACATTCAATTAGAAACAGCCAGTGTCATACATTTCACATCCTTTGCAACGGTTCTGCCGATCTGGACTCTCCCATGAGGTGTCAAGAGTTCTCTTACTTTCAAGCCACCGTTCAATGGCTCATTAGTTTATTGATTTGTTAATTTACTGTTTTGTTCATTGATTAATTCACCCGTTCTTCTGGGACCTTGCTATTGCAAATCTGGCACTATTCTGGGACCTGTGGGGGATATGAAGGAGTTTAGGACATGCAATTTATTTGTTCAACAAATATTTTAGACACCTACCAAGTATAAGCTTGATGCTGGGAGATGATTAAGACATGGACCTAACCTTGAGGGGCTGATAATTAGAAAAGGTGATGGGGTACATAAATCACTACAACACATGTGATTAAAAAAAAAATAAGTAGAGGTGACAAAAGGAGATTTGGGATTTGAGACTAGAGAGCCTAATTGCATTGCAGCAGAACAGAACTGGAGAGGGGTTGGAAGGAGGAGTAGATGGATCATCAGCTCAACCTAACAGTTGCCTGGCTTCTGTGGTCCCTGCTCAGGGAATGCTTCTACCTGGCCAGAAGCTTATGCCATGATCTGGCATAAAAACGTTGCCTGGATCAATAAGTTTTCCTCTTTGAGAAACTTGAACAGGAAACTGGAGAGACTGGTCTGGTCTGGTTTGAGTCCATTTGGGTTCTTGAGTATCGACTTCCAACTGGGCTGTGAACTTCTGGGAGCACAGGAGGACTCTCCAAGCACTGCACACACACCTGAAGTTTTGTTGGGTGTATGGTTTTTTGCAGTCATTGGGATTGAACCCAGGGGTGCTCTACCTCTAAGTTATACATCCCCAGCTCTTTTTATTTTACTTTGAGATAGGGTCTCTTTGAATTGCCCAGGCTGGCTTTGAACTTGTGATCCTCCTGCCTCAGCCTCCTCAGTAGCTGGGAGTATAGGTGTGCACCACGGAACCCAGCACACCCCTAAAGTTTTAAGAGAATCGGTTTCCAAATCTTCAACTTCTCTGGAAGCTCCTTTCTGTATCTGGAGAATGAGAGAGGTACTGTAGTCCTTTGATATCTGCTCTTTCATAATTGCTCTCCTCTTTTACAAAAAGAGAAGTAAACTCACCCATCTGATCCCAAATTTTAACCAGATTTACTGGTCCAGAGTAAATATGTCCCTGATCTGACTTCCACTGGCTGCCACACAAGAGGACACTTAGAAAATCAAGAAAGCAAGCACAGGACTAACAATGCAATCTCTCCAACAGGGACAGTTTCTAATTTTGGGGGTGGTGGTGGGGATGGCTACTGGGGATTGAACCCAGTATCAAGCCACTTTCCCAGTTCTTTCTGTTTTTTGAAACAGGGTATCAATAAGTTGCCAAGGTTGACCTTGAACCTGTGATACTCCTGACTCAGCCTCCAGAGTAGCTGAAATTATAGGCATGCATCACCACAACCAGCTTCTAGTTCTTTTTTTATGCCTTTATTTTATTTACTTGTATTTATATGGTGGAACCTGGTACCTCACACATGCAAGGCAAATGCTCTACCAACTGAGCTATAGCCCCAGCCCTCAAATATGATTTTTTGGTGATGGATCACTTTGTGAATTTTGGTATACAACCCAGAAGTAGATCAAAGAGTCAAGTGACCCTGCTCTGACAAAATTTGTATTTCTATGTGAATGAGGGTTTTCAGTGTTTACACCTACATAAATGAAAAATGGAAATATAACAATGCTGATCTTTGTCTCATACTAGCAATAAATAATGGTCTTACATGGATAAATAAAAAAATTGCAGAAACATGCCAGCGCTAACCCTGCATGATAATCCCTGGGCATGCATGCTCTGTGATAATTCAAACTGTACACAATCTGGTCAGATACAGATATGCATGTTGTATATCAATAAATAAGTCTATTTTAAAAAGTGATCCACTATCACCATCTCATTAAGAGAAATATTTTCAATATAATTTTGTTTTTATGTTTATTAATTAGTTATCCAAATTAGTAATACATTTGTGTTGTTCTGATCAATTATGTACTGTTAGTAATTGTAACGATAACTCAAGCCAGAAGAAAAATTTTAATGCATAGAGCTTTATGATTTTAGGAAATTAAAAAAGTTTCAACTTTATAAGTCATCCCAGAGAAATATGACGGGGACATAAATGAAAGAGTTTCAAGCATAAAAATATATTACATATATAAGATTAGGATAAAATTCCACGGGGAAACTGAAATGGAAATAAAATTTTAAGGAGAAAAAGARCACAGACTATTAAAGAAGAGGGTGTTCGTGCGGTTTTTGAAGTGGAGGATAGTGGGTACTGAGTTGCTGCGGTGTTTAGATTCCACTGGATAAAATTAAAACAGTGACGTCATAGTTTTACTTAAAAATATCAATGTTTACAACATTCTAGAGATCGTATCTTTTGCAAACACATGATAAAAAAAATGTAAATGTAAACTTAAAAATGGGTGAGAGAGGAGCCYGGCGTGGTGGCACACGCCTGTCATCCCAGTGATTCAGGAGGCTGAGGCAGCAAGGATTTCAAGTTCAAGGCCAGCCTCTGCAACTTACTGAGGCCCTAAGCAACTCAGTGTTGCTGTCTCAAAAATAAAATAATAAAAAGAGCTTGAGACTTAGCTCAGTGGTAAAGTGCCCCTGGGTTCAATTACACACACACACACACACACACACACACACACACACACACACACACATATATATATACACACACACACACTAAAGGTGAGGGGTTCAGGGAGGATTTCTTTTAAGCAGAAAAATCTGGAAACTACTGCAGTTGTCCCCTTCCACTTGGGAGTGAGCTGTGTTGGTTTCTGTCCCTTTCTGAACTGTAAGAGAAAGAAATGGAAAATTTGTGCTCAAGGGGTTTGGCTTGATGGGATGAAGAGGGGATGGAAGGAAGCAGAGGAAAGAGTCAAAGATGGCCAGAGACAGCTGGGGCAGAACCTGAGCTCAAAGTGACGCTGGGAGCAATGAATGGCCACAGAACACGAGGGCGCTGGGTATGAGAATGCCAGAAACAGGGAGACCAATTCTCCAGCTGCCAAAAAGGTATAGGTCAGAAATGCAAAACCACAGCTCCAGCTGAGACCTCCTGAATCAGAATCTGCATTTTATCAAGGGCCCCCCTGCCCCCAAGTAATTCGTGGACATCTAAAATCTGAGAACTGGATTAGTAGCCTCTTGCTGCATACAGGTGTGAGAGTTAGAACCTGAACTCAGGTAATAATGAGCAAGGAGAGAGAGAAATGAGGGAAACTTCCCCTATGCTGCTGTTAGGAAGTTACTTTCTTTCCTCAAAATGCTCTGCCCTTCCAGGGCTTGTGACAATCTGAGAAGACACCTCCTCCCTTCCTCACATGGACTCTCTTTCTTAGTGGCCTCATCGATGGCCCATCCTCTGTGGACTCCCAGTGATTACCCCAGCTCATTTGATCTGAGCTCCTATATCAGCTACCTAATCCACCTCACCACTGCCATGTTCAAGGGAATTCAACATCAACTTCCCCAAACTGGATGCTGTATCAAGGATCTCTTTCCTTGAATTATGTTCCCTCCTGGTACAGGACCTTTGCACATGCTGTCCTCTCCCTTTCTTTATTTAAAGAACTCTTCCCTTTCCCACCTCCTCTCCATCTATCCAGTACTCACTTTTGAATCTTAGTTCAAACTATATTTTCTCAGAAAGTCCACTGTGACCCCAAGTCTACACCAGGTCCCTTTCTTATACATTCTCATAATACTCTTTTCCTCAGACCATTCTTCCTCAGAACATTCTTCTCAGTTTTTAATTGTACTTCCAGCAGTGTAATTATCTGATTAGTGGATTTTTCTCTATTGGAACCAGGTCTGGTTTTTAAACCTTTGATTCTATTTCCAAAACCTGTCATAATGTCCAGCACACCACAGGCCCTCTAATAAGATTTGCTGAAGAAATGGCAATATTTGGGGCTGGGATTGTGGTTCAGCGGTAGAGTGCTCGCCTAGCAAGGGTGGGACCCGGGTTTGATCCTCAGCACCACATAAAAATAAAGGCATTGTGTTGTGTCCATCTACACCTGAAAAATAAATATTAAAAAAAATGAAATGGCAATATTTGTTGAATCAACCAATGAATGTGAAAACCACACATATAAAACAACAACAACAACAAAAAACCAGATAACAATGATCAAGTCCCCCATATAAGCAGAAAATGAAATTCTGTATAGGTCAAGCAGATGGTAGGCCCTCTTGGAGAATAGTTAGATTTCACCATGGTTTTGATGGACAAATAAGACCTAAAGAGGTGGAGAGGACCAGGAAGGGGATTCCAGAYGAGGGAACGGCATAAACAAGGCCCTGGAGCCCAGCACAGGTGTCCAGGCTGGGATACAATGTCCATGTCAGGAACTCCTCCACCATCAGATGGACTCTGTAAGGTGGGACACCTGCCACAGGTGTTATGTGGCATCCAACAGTAATATCCTGTGGGCCTTGGGCTTGGTGATTCTGGAATGCCTCTCCTGGTGTATGTCTCTCTTTTCCTCAAAAGCTCTGCCTTAAGTCACCCGTCCCAGGAAGAATGACTTGTTGAGACT